ATTTTAAATTATTTTTCTCTTGGCACCATGAGTGTTGAAGGGAGAAGAGCGTGGGGAAGTTTTGATGAAATTAATCAGAAAAATATTCTTTATTTAACAAAGGCTGCATACTCGGCAAGGCCTAGGGAGACTAGGGGAAACTCAGAGGTGACAGGAAGGCTTGTGCCCAGAGAGGCACAGACTTTAATTTTTAATGTTTTGCAGCACAGGGGATCAAACCCAGGGCCTTTGCCCTGAGCTGTATCCTCGGCCCTTTCCATATTTATTTAGAGTCGAGGTCTTACTGAGTCACTAAATTGCCCAGGCTGGGTTTGAACTGGCAATCCTCTTACCTCAGCCTCTCAGCCTGCTGGGAGCTATGTGCCACCAAGCATGGCTAGCATGGGCATTTTCTGAGAGGTCTTATCCACAGCCGTTTGTGGGGGACTAATAACAAATAGCTCAGATAGCTGGGGTAACGGTACTGCTGATGTCTGGTGGTTTTTTGAAAGGGACAGCTAATGCTTAACATTTTTTATATTTTGACCAATTTTGCATGCTTATATCTGGTAATCTGAGCAACTGATGTGAAGACAATATGCAACAGAACAACCATTGGGAAACTCTTACCATCCTGTCTAGTGAAACTCTGTACTGTCTCTAATGTTTTATTTCATAATTATTTTTTATTCTCTTTAATGGTTTGAACAATCTTCCATTCTTACATCTGGTAATGTGAGCAACTTAGCTGAAGATAACAATATGTAATATAACAAACATTGTTAAGTCCTACCATTTTGTTTTGAAACCCTGTATCATTTTTAATGTTTTTGCTTTGTTTTGTTTATGTCTGTGATGTTGGTATTTTGCTATTCTTTTTTTTCTACTCTTTTGAAAATAAAATTTAAAAAAAACAAAAAAACAAAAAACAGCTCAGTTGCATGCCTCCGAAATTAAGTGTCTTTTCAAGTCAACTAAAAGCAAGTAACTAAAAGCCAGTGAGCCCAGAGTATTTCTTTGGGTTTTCCCTTGACAGTCAGAAACCACAAAAAGATAAACTCCTGCGCTCTTACCCTGTTACTCAAAACAGTGACTGCATTTGGGCCTACGGATGTCCAATAAGTAACCAAAAACAGAACGAAGTTTGACCTTCATTTATCACCTTAAAACTTTGGGTTGGATCCTTGCTCGCTCTGCATCTAGGTGTTCGTCACATTTAAAAGTTGGCAGGACAAGGCTGACAAGCCCTTCCTGTGCATAACCTATCTTATCAGCCTTCATGACTGAGGAGAGAAAAAGATTTATAGTGACACTCAACTACGGCTGTAAGTCTCCAGTCAGTGCCCTAAATGTAAAGTCACCCTGGATCCCAGCGAAACCTCCACAGAACTACAACTCCCCCAAGCGGAAATGGAATTGCCCCCTCAAGCAATAAGGACTTCTCCAGAAGCCACTTTGCAAACCACAACTAAAATAATGATCAACCTGACTCTACTGCACTCCAGCAAACACATAAACCTGGCCTCCTTCTTTTGTGAATAGGCCAGTGATCCTCTTCATCAAGTGCTATGCCTCCTCCAGTTCAAGGTAAATCCCTATTTTCTAACTGTCTAAAAACCTGCCTATGCCTCAAACCAGTGTGTCCTAAAATGACTTCCTGTGACATGGTTGATAGCCCTACCCCCTGGGGGACAAGTTGAGGCTCTGGCTCCTCTATAAGGGACAAACTTGGAGTGACAGCAACGTTCTAAATATATTTTAGGTATAGATTAATTTAATTCTTATAACAAATCATAGTGGGTTAAAAAAAGAATTGTTCTTTTTTTGTGTTTTTGTTTTGTTTTTTGTTTGTTTGTTTGTTTTTCCGGTACAGGGAATTGAACTCACAACCTTGCACTTGCCAGGCAGGCACTGTGCCACTGAGCTAAATCCCCAGCCCCCAAAAAGAATTGTTCTTTTATTTCCATTTTACAGGGAAGGAAACTGAAACACAAAGAGTCCAAATCATGTGTCAGGGTCACAGAAAAGACGGTACACAGCCACATCCTCTCAGGGGCAACACTGATACATCCAATATCCCACCGAAATTTCACAGCAACCCTCTGATATGCACACAATCATCCCCCATTTACACATAAGAAAACTGAGAGCTCAGTGAGATAATTCGGACTCACCCCAAATTTCCAATATTAAAGGGCAAAGCCGTATTTCCAAGAGTCAAAAGTTCCTAACTTTCAAATGAAAGGACAAACTAGATCTTGGCCCTAGCATTGAGTAACCTGCAGCACTGCTTTAAAAGCAATCCCACTTCCCCCACTGACTGGCCGGCGATAGTGACCTCGCTTCTGTAAGCCACAACACCAGCCGCCTGCCAGTGACCACACACCCAAGTCAGCCAGTTAGCAACAGTCCCACCAAGGGGCACACTTCCACCACGAAACTGTCTGACACACACCAATCCCTACGCTCTACGTTCCCCGGACCCAAACGGACCCGTTCTTCGCTTTGCCATCTTCTAAGCGTAGCATTCCCTTGCTAAGCAATCTGCTCAGCTTGTTTTTTAGATGACAGAGCTTTTCCTCCAACACACTTAGCCAAAGATAAAGCTCCCTCTGACGTCAAGTAGCACCTATTCTGGAGAAAGGAGGCCTTTAAAGAATGAAAACACTGCTGTCCTTTGACCCCAAGCCGAGGACTTACCTTGCCTGGGAGGAAGTCAGCCAGGGAAAAAGCACCATACCCCTTTATCTGCCAAAAGCTGGATGTCCTTGGAAGTGACCTCAGTATTAGCCTTGATTTTTCCCCCCAATCTCTTTGAAGGGCTTACTGATGACACAAATGGTATGTATTCATAGTTGCAGTTGCCTTGATTTTGTTGCCAAGTGGCAGAGGACTTCTAAAGCCAAGCAGATAAGCAATATGCCCAGGGCAGTTCTGCCACTTCCAGGTAAGTCACTGCAAGGACGCTGGTAGGGCCTAAACGCCACATGTGGAAATGCAGCTTGAAAGCAAGCCCTTCTCTAAATGGCCAGCAGTACTAGCTCTTAGATGCCCACAGCTGACGGCCCACTTATTTAAACCACCAGTCAGCTGGGAGGAGTATGGAGGAGCTTCCTCAGGCTCAGCATAGAGTGGTTTATTTACATCACAGCAGTTAGAAACAGTCTTTGCAGTTTAAGAGTCCTGGTCAAACTGACACAGGTTGGGGTCAAGCAGTTCCCCCAAAGAAGAGGTGGAGACCCCAACTTACCCTGCTATGTGTGTTTCTTGACTCTGGTCCCAGAAAAGAATTTCAGGACGTGTCAGGGAGAGACACAGAAAGGTTTTATCAGGCAGAAGTAAGGTGCGCACTCAGAAGAGTACAGATCTTCAGGAGAGATGCAGGTTACGGTCTCAAACTGGGAATATTACTTTGTGAGGTGAAAATCTGTGGAGTTTGCAAATCTACAGAAATCTCAATTTGAAGTCCATAGTATTATCTTTTGTTTGCAAATCTACAGAAATCTCAATTTGAAGTCCATAGTATTATCTTTTAAAGATAGGTGATCTAAGATGTTCTGCCTAAAAATGTTTTCTGAATCTTTTCAATCTACTTCTCTATCTTAAAGTCAGGTTTCTGCCCTTCATCAGCTAAACTAATGGATTTACAGTATCTTTAAGGGACGTGGGTGTTTTGGGTGGGCCTGAAAGCCTGGGAAGTAAAGATCGGATAACTGAGTAACTGTGTGTCCTGAAGAAGTCATTTTTTTCTTAAAGGTTCAATTTTATTTTTTCTTGTCCTTTCTCCCTATCTTTATTTCTTTTAGGCCACCTCAAAGCCATCATTTTCTAGCTGAGGTTTGTAACAAGCCACTGAATTCAGTTATGTCTTTACCTGAAAAAGATAAGCATCATATTAACATGACAGGCTTGTGGGGGAAGGTAAGCGAGGTGATGCACAAAACACTTAGAGCCAAATCTGGCTCACTTTATGTCCATTTACAAAAAAAAAAAAATCAGTGGTCTTTCATAGTGAGGTTGTGGCTGGGAAATGGTTCCCAGCATGGTACATTCCCCAGCAGCCTTTGCAACAGACATGGCCATGTGACCAGGCTTTGTGTGGTCATGTGACCGTGATGTAGCTATTGCAAAGGAGCCTGAGTAGAGTACCACTTCCTAACATGCCTCGTACAAAACCTGTCATGCTGCCCTCCAAAGAACTCCCAGGGCCCACCTCTATCATGATCCCACGCTGATGCACTGTGGCAAATTTTAGGATAAACAGAATTTCACACCCTAGGAAGCATCTCCACTTTAGGCTCTCTTCAGTGTCCACGTATTTCATGGCTCAGAAAGGAGCCCATCCACAGAACTGCTGGGAAGCAAACAAGCTAAAACATATGGACACTTTACTGTCACTACCCAATATACAAGAGCCCCTAGCTACATGCTACGATTTAGATCTAAAGTGGCCCCCAAAGCCTCAGGTGTTTGTGGAGACTCGATTATGGGGCGTTACAGCTGACTTGCTGATTGGAGGAAGGGTCTGGTTAGAAGTGGGCCAGTGTGGGTGTGGCCAACAAGGGTACATTTCCTCTTCCGGCTCTGCCCTTGATTCTTGGCTTCCTGGCTGCCATGAGCCCGAAGCTCTCCTCCGCCCAGACACGCCCCCCCCCATCGCTTCCTGCCTTGGAGCTTGCCACCTGCGGACTGAAAACGCGATCCCAGGTACACCTCTTCTAAGCTGGGGTGTCTGAGTATTTGTTCCTAAGATGAAAAAGTGCCTAAGACATCGCACACACCTCTTTAAATTAAATGAAATACTGGCGTCCTCAGTTGCACCGGCCATGTGTGAAGTGCTCCATCCGTGCAGGGGGCTGGCAGCCGGTGCGCTGCACAGAGCAGGCACAGGACACTTCCTTCCCCGTGGAGGTGCTGTTGGATGGTACTGGCTCAGTTCCCGGCACCAACACACTTTACACCAGTGTTGTTCACAGAGCTCTGCCTGCCCCCAGGGCCCAGCACAGACTCTGCACAGAGGAGATGTCTCATAATTATTTATTGAAAGAAGTGAACAAATGAATCCCCGGCCCAGCACATACACCAGACTGCAACACCGTATCTTCCACATCCCTGGGTCCCCTTCTCCGCTGCCCCAGGCCCTGGAGCATAGAGGCTTAGTAGAACTCCTCATTGTCAGAGTCCGAGTCAATGCCTTGGTTCTGAATTTGACTTTGCTTGCGGTACAGACAGGCCACCTGAGGAGAGGGGTGCAGGATGGTCAGCAGCTCCTGGGCTGCTCCCCTCCATGGTTGCAGGGCAAACCGCCTCTCAGAAGTCGGTCGTGCCGAGCAAGCCCACCCCTGGGAGATCCAGCCCCTCCTGAGGTCTAACCTGGGCACTGGTAGTGGCCTCCTCTGGCTTCTTGTCTGCACGGATGCGAATAAACCGAGGGAATCGAAGGGAGATCCCCTTCTCACTGTCCACCTAAGGGAGGGCGTGGGGGTAAGAACACATCAGTGCTCCAGCTGCACTCTGCTGGTTGAGCGATAACCTAGCCAGTCTCCTCTTCCTTCTTGCACCCTGGCCTCAGTTTCCTAACCCATACAATGGGGTTGAGCAATGGACTGTCAGGGTTAAAAACACTGACAAAGTGCTTAGATCCTCTGTATCTGGAGCTTAAGAAATGCCAGCTATTGCTGCCACGTTCTGCTGGGAGGGAGAACGGCAGACTCAGGGCGTACGTTACGGAACAACACTGGAGGCGTCCGACCCATGAGGCCCTGGATCAGCTACCTCAGCCCTCTTGGGCACCGCCTCTTCAGCTGTGAAAGAGATGTTCACATCACCCTGTCTCCACAGTTGTGTGCAACATGCCGGTTTTAACAGCACTGCCGCAGGGGGCACCGGCTCGGTGCACTAGGTACCGCGGAGCCCTGGCTCCCAGAGCACAGCACCAATGGGAAATTAAATGGATGCCTGCTTGCAGTCAGAAAAGCCTGTTAGCTGGGTTTTGAAGGATGGAAGAATTCTCCACAGCACTTTTTAAATCTGCCCATCACTGTCCTCTTGAAGAAGAGGACTGCAAGCTGTTAGGGGCTGCCACAGGCTGTCTCCCAGCTGCACGCTGACTGCTTCATATGGTGCCAAGGGTCAAACCACTGGCGGGATCAGCCGGGTAGTGTGCTCACAAATTCCGGCTGAGGAAGTAACTGTGGCTGTTGAAGGACATGCTCAGCAGTAGGCGGAGCTTCCAGGCAAAAGACCCCAGTTTTCAAAGATTACTGTAGAGCTTAAGCCACGCATGTCGGTGTACACCTATAATTCCAGCACTCCGGGAGGCTGGGGCAGGAGGATGGAAAGTTCAAGCACGCTTTCCGCAACTGAGATCCCCCCAGAAGAAAAAATAAAAAGGGTTGGAGATGTAGCTCAGTGCAAAGGTGCTGGGTTCCCACTGAGGTATCTTCCCCAGAGAGCTAAAGACATTATATTACAGCCTTACACATACACCAATGGTTACAGCAGTACCACTCCCAATAGCTAAATCCTGGAAGCAGCCTATACGCCCCTCAACAGACGAATGGATAAAGAAAATTAAATTTTAAATTAAATTAAATTAAATTATGGTGTCTATGTATAACAGAATACTACTCAGCTCTTAAGAAGCATAAATAAAATTGAGACATTTGTAGGAAAACGGATATACCTGGGAAATAACCTTCACTGAAATCAGACACACAAGCTTAAACACTGTATAGTTCTCTCATTTGAGCAGTATAAAGTAAAAATAAAGAATAAAATAAAAACCTGATAAAGGGAATCAGGGAAACAGATCTTTCACAAATTGAAAGAGGTCCAAGACAGCCGGGGAGGGGGTGGGGGTTGGGAAGAGGACGTAGCATCGTGTACATGCGCCAAATACCCACAAGGAATGTCATCAGGGTCCATCATAAACGTGAACAACAGTAATAGCGATCATGGGGAGAGAGAACCTAAAGATGGAGGGAGGAGGTGGGTGGGCAGGGGAAGGGGAACAAAAGAATCAAAATACATTAAGTGTAGGTACCTACTCACTAAGATGGGTGTCAACGACTTGTACTGCAAACATATACCAATAAAAAAAAGAAAAAAGGTGCTGGGTTCAATCCCCAGTACCACAAACAAATGAACAAAGAGAAAGAAAAAGATCTTCAGTGCCAAAGGCAAAATTATGACACAAAAGGGACCAATATCACTGTTTTTTTTCTACCACTGAGCCTCTTTTTAAGATCATTTTTTTTACCTCACCATCTGACACTCAAATACACATTTTCTTCATCACGAAGGAAGGGCAGGTGTGGGCCCCAAGGTCCTCCCTGTAGGCTCCATGCTCCCTCCCGGAGTTCCTGCCCGGGACCCCGCAGACACTCACCAGGCCCCGGGCGGCAGGGTAGATCGGGGAGAGAGAGAGGTCAGCGCACTTCACCTCCCACACGGAGCTGGGATCCAGCCAGTGGTCAGGGGCCACGGCACCATCTGCCCGCACATAGGGGCGGGGGGTGGGCAGCACCAAGGCCTGCAGAGAGCAGTGGGAAGGAAGGAGAAGGCGTTGGATCTCAAAGTCAAGGCCAAAAGTTTCAGATCAGGAGTGAAGGAGGGAGGAAAAGCAGGGAAGGAGCAGAAATAGGCACGTCTTAAAGTAAAATGCTGGAGAGGAGCAGACAGGAATGGGAGAAGGAAGAAATGAAAGAGAATCTGGAAGCAGCCTGTGTGTCCATCGATAGATGACTGGATGAAGAAAATCGAATTTTACATTAAATTATGGTATCTATACATAACAGAATACTACTCTGTTGAAGCAGTATAGTAAAGACAAAAGAGGCCAAGACCCAGGGAGAGACAGAGACCTAGAGAGAGGGAGGGAAGGAGAGGGAGAGGGTGCGGGCCACGGGGAGACGACAGGGGAGGGTGAGACGTGTGTGTGGGGAGATGGACACGGGCTCAGACCTAGTGAACAGTCATCGAGGCAGCAGGGAACAGAGAGAGACGCCCAAAGAGTGGGGCAGAGATAAAGTCAGGACCAGAGATACCAGCGCACGGGACAGAGATTCACACCAAACAGGCGCGCTATCGTGCCAACCAGCGCTGCACTTCACTCAGGTTCTGTAGCTCGCAGGGTAAGCCACGGAACCCCAAGGTCAGCCACGGCACTGAGCTCGGGACCAGGCCCGTCGGCCAGCGTCACCAGCTACTTAGTATCCTTCACAGCTGGAACTTGGATGTGCTGGGCTCTAAGACCAGCTCTACCATCCACTGCCCTGCCACCTGCACTCTGACCCAAGGAGTGAGGCCCCAACTGTGGAAGCACAGCGGGAGGGCGCTGGCCAAGGCCAAGGCCGAGGCACGGCGCCCTGGCTCACCTGGAGGTTCTGGTAATGCTCTTCCAGCTGCTCGTCGCTGAAGCCCGTGCCAAGCTGCAGGGAAGACAGCGCAGGTCAGCTCGGTCAGCCACCTGCCCAGCTCCTGCCGTTCAAGGACCCGAATGAGGATCCCACTCTGTCCAACCAGTGTCCACAGAAACCGGAGGAAGACGGCAAAGTGTGGGGCTAGCACCTGGTGCCTAACCCCCACCACTAGGGGAAACGCCCTCCCAGCCAGCCCCACTGACTCCTCACAGCCTTCCTTCTGCTCTTCCCCCATGTGCTCACCAACGTCCCACCCACCCAGAAATGGGCTGTTGTCACCTCCAGTCTCAAATCTGACAAGAGCTCCTTTGTCCTACCAAGCAGTAAAGGCTACAAAACAGTAGTAACACTTGGTGCGGGCAGACAAGTCGGGTATCTTCACACTGCTATTAAACTCCATCTGGAAAGCCCTCTTTGCAGTGAGAGCCTTAAAGGTTTTTGGCCTTTTGCTCTCTTTAGCTCTTTAAGGTCTATTCTAAAACCAGTAATGCAAAATGGCGACAGATTGGTGCCCAAAGACACGGTAGATCACAAAACCACTTTGATCACCGACAACGAGGGTTAACAACATTTTAAGTGCCAAGGTCATTCCTAAGAATAAGCTGGCTGGAGATAAGCCATCCAGAGACGGCACTGGTTCAAGAAACGGGAGCACACGCACTTGAAAATTCTTGCGTGGGCACGGAATCATGCTGCCAGTATTACTTAAAATGCACATGATAACATTTAAATTTAATATTTATAGAACTAAAAGGCAGAAAACAAAGTGACAGAATTTCAACTTTATAAAAATATAAATAAAACACTGCCTCCAATGTTACTGCTGTTTACAGTTGTGCACTGGGACTCTGGGTGGTATTTTTGCTTCTGTGGCAAAAGACCCAAATGTACTAGATATAGGAGCTACAGGGGAAAAGGAAATAACAATATGCACATTAAAAAAATTCTTTCTCTAAACATAAAATAATGCATTTCCCAGAATCCTGTGCAGATAGGGATGGGCCTATGGAGTAGGATTTAGACCAATTCAAGTTAGGCAGAAGTTGTTCACTGCTGACTCTGACCCAGGCGCCCACCCTTCTTTGCCATGATGGTTTGAACCACGATGCCACAGAGCTGCAAGCACGTGACAAAGACAACTACAGGGAAAGACAAAAGCAGCCCAGACCCTAACGACACTGGAGATTGCCTGCCTCTCCACACTCATCACCTGGGAGAAAAGATTTTATTTCAGCCACAACTATTTGCAGCTGAACTCGATCCTTGACAGTTTCCTTATACCTCTCTACAGCACTACCTTATTTTTCCACAGGAAGCAAGAGTTGCTTATTGGATCAGGAAAAACAAAAGAACTAAGAAAACCATGGTCGCTCATGTGGAGGACGTGAGCCTTTGCGTCTGGGCGCTCCCCAGGTTGCCAGGTCTGCCCCAGAGTCTAAACCACTTTCCTCCCACTTTCCACCCAGGTCTGCCCCAGAGTCTAAACCACTTTCCTCCCACTTTCGTGGGGAGAACCCCATCCCCAGGACCTTGCATATGGCCTGCAGCTCCTCGCTCTCCTCATCGTAGGCAGCCAGCAGGAAGCCCCCGTAGCGGCCGGCCCGCTTCCCCCGGCCTAGGTAGGCGCCGATCACCACGAGGTCCAGCGTGTCACCCACACCATCGAGGTAGTCCTTCTTCAGCTGGGGAAGGGAGCAAGGGATGAGGGCCCCGACCGCGGGAGCTGGCCAGTGGGCTAAGGAGGGTCACGAATGAGGCTGAGAACATCCGGAGAGAGCACTGAGGAGCATCGTGGCGGAGAGAGCTTCTCAGCTTCAGGTAGAGCAAATGGGAAGAAAGGTGAAGTGGGGGCCTTGAGTCAGCCTGTCCTCAGAGTCAAGGTCAGCGCACCCCACACGCTGCTTCACACGGAGAACGCTTCTCCGCACTCAGCAAACACTTAGGAAGTGCCGACTGTGCAGCAGGCACTCAGGACTGGGAGTGAGTGTCCACTTCCTAAGACATGAGAGCATTGGATACTCCCCTCACCGCACAGCTGCTTGGTCCAGGAAGGGAGACCAGGGACACGGAAATGCAGCGAACACCTGGCCAGCTCCGCCCCGAACCCTCCCTCCGCCCCGAACCCTCCCTCCGGCTCCCTTCCTCCCACCCAGCCCGTCCTCCGCCACGCGAGACGGGCACCTCACACCAGACAGCAGCTCCCCAGCCTGCTCCCACCCGCCAGCGACTAGCCCTATCTACTACCTACAGCAGCTGGAGGACCACTATGGAATGACAACTGGAGCATGTGACTCCCGTGGGTGTAACCTACGCTGGTCTCCCAGAACCTCTAGAAGGAAATTCAGTTTTCTCCCACAGTGTCCTGCAAGAGCTGGGGCCTGCTCTGAGGTCAAAGACTGCCTTGCCGGCTTTTGTTCCCTGCACACATCAAACCTGGGCCTAGCCCTCAGGACTTCTGCACTTGGGGGGCCCCTGCTCTATCATCCAGGTCCTGACCTAAGCGTTGCCTCCAGGGTGATTCTCTGGATCACCCGTGTGCTCCCAGGCTGCACTAGGCCTGAGCTGACCCGCTCTCTCCAGGTGTTCCTCACTGCCCACTTCAGCCTGTTCATGCCCCAGCTGGCTCCCTCCTGCGCACCTCACCTCCCAGGGAATCCCCAGCTCAGAGACAACGGAGACCCCACCGGCTTTCTCAACCTGGTATCTCCAGGGCTGAGGCAGGGCCCCCTCACTGACCAAGCTTGCACAGGGAGGAGAGCTAACCAGGCGTGGGATGGTAGAAAGGGTTCCCGAGCTCAAACAGAGTGCAGCTGGAGACGTGACACCATGTTCTCAGTGGGGACAGACTTCCAGAGCTGGGAAGAGCCAGGCTGGGCGGGAATCACCTTGAGCCAGTTGTGCGACCTTTTGGCGATCTCGTAGGTGGCATCGACATCCAAGGTCTTCACCATGAGCCCCTCGCAGGAGTCTGGAGACACACAAGCATGGCCCTTGGGACCCCTAGCTCCCCAGGCCTGGAGAAAGCAGGATCCCATCAAATCACACCAGCTTGGGGGAGGGCCGAGGACCAGGGTCCAAGCAGGTAACGAGGAAGCTACAGGGAGAGAAAGCAGCCACCTTACCTTTCACCGACTGCTCCAAGAACTCAGCGATCTGCTCCGTGTCCTTGGTGTCCAGGGAGGTGGCGAAGACAAATTCACCCTCCGTTTCTACGAAGTTCTCCCGGAGCAGCTGCCGGCGTCGAGACAGGGGCTCACGGACCAGGGACTGAGGAGAGAGGGGGGGACCACGGTGGAAACAAAGACCAGAAGGAAACACAGGTCACACAGCTCGATGTGGCATACAGAAAGCCTTGGGAGGGAAGAACCAGGCCGTCAGGAGGACTCAAGACCTAGAGGTTCAGAGGCAGCAGCCTAAAATGGGTAAAAAAGCCAGTGACCATGAGGTTAGTACACATGTTTCTGAGAGGGTATGTTCTACGTTATCCAGGGGCCGGCAACTTCTTGGTGAGAACCAGACAGTAAATACAGCTGTCCCTTAGTATCCACGGGGACTGGAACTCCCCCCCAACAGCCATCAAAACCCACGGACACTCAAGTGGTGTAGACTTGTGCAGAGTCTACGGCCGTCCTCTCACTGATACTTCAGAGCACCTCTAGGAGACTTACAATACCTCATCCAATGTCGGTGCTACAAACAACATATTATTGAGGGAATAATGACAATTGTGAACATGTTCAGGACAGATGAAACACTCTTGTCAAATATCTTGAACCCATGGATGTGGAACCGAAGATGCAAAGGGCTGACTGCGATTCTCAGCTCTGCTGTTGTAGAGAAGCAGGCGCGGACAGGCTGTGGGCAAATGGGTGAGGCTGCACCCCCAAAATATCTCCTCTGCAAACACAGGTGGTGCGACAGACCCGGCTCACAGGCCGCAGTTGGCTGAGCCTGGAGGAGACAACGCCTGCTCACTTCTCTAAAACGAGCTCCTCAGCCTGAGGAAATGGCTGACTTTATGGCCTTCCTGGTCCGGATTGAACTGACCCAGTTCTTTTACAGGCTCTAAAGTCTCAGTCAAGTGCAGGCCTGCTCAAGGTTACATGGGCAGGTTCAGTCTGGACTTGGCACGCACCCTTTTCTTTGCTCAGCACCACACAGGCCAAGGACGTCCAGGGGGAAGCAGAGCAAAGAGGTAAGAAAAGAAACGCAAAGCCAGGTGTGGTGGCGTAGTACACACTGCAGTTCCAGAACTCGGGGAGGCTGAGGCAGGCAGGCTGAGTTAAAATCCAGCCTGGGCAACTTAGTGACTCAGCAAGACCCTGTCTCAAAATGAAAAGGGGCTGGAGGTATGCCTCAGTGTAAAGGCTCTACCAGTATTAAAGAACCAAGAAGAAAGGAAGAAGGAAGGAAGGAAGGGAGGAAAGGAAGGTGCAGGGCAGCGGTCCAGGGGAGGAAGAAAAGGAAAGGAAAGGGGAAAAGGAAAGGAAAAAGGAGAAAGGAAAGGACGGAGAAGTCTCCTACCTCGCTTGGCCCCCACCACACCAACCCACCTGGGAGAAAGGGTTCTCTTCTCCAGGCCCCGGGCAAGAAAAGCGCCCAGAGAGGGAACTCCAGGTTCCTAGGGAATATCCCCAAACAGCTGTTTCCAAACTTCTCAGTCTCAGGGCTCCTTTACACTCTTAAAAAGCACTGAGTCATCACTCCAAAGAGGTTCTGTTTAGGTGGGGCACATCTTTCGATAGTTACTGTATTAGAAATTAAAAATTTACAGGAATTTACAGAATGGTTATTCATTCATTTAAAAAATAGTGTACAATATGCTCACTCACGTAGACTTTTTTCGTGTGTATGTGGTGCTAGAGATTGATCAGGGCCTCAAGCATACAAGCAACTGCTCCACCATCAAGCTATACCCCAGCCCCCAGATAGTATGTTTTTATGAAACACTCATATCTTTAAAAAATTGGTGAGAAAGGGGTGTCTGGCATTTGTGTGCATTCTTTAGCTTCTGCCTTAACGGAGCTGGCTTTTCACATCTGCTTCTACATTCAGACACTGCACTGTGTGGCTCTGGCTGCAAACAGGGAGAACTGCCTGTGCGGATGTGAGCCGAGGGGGAAGACGTTGGAGACTCTCCTGAGAGGCCCTGGGGCCCCCAGAGTCCTGGGATCACAGTTTGAGAACCACTGCCCAAAGCACAGCCTCCCAGCTCAGTGACGGCACACTCAAGAGACACAAGCCAGGCTGCCACCTGCTGGCTACCCAGGCCTAGGGCAAAACTCACCTCTCCATTGAGGTAGATGAGGTCGAAGGCATACAGACACACCTGCACCTGGATCTCCGCTGCATCTACCTCCTGTTGGGGCAGAGTGGAAACCAGGAGTGGGAGAAGGTGAGGCAGGGCCCGCTGGGCCCCTGCCTGTCCCTGAGGCAGTAGCTGGTCTCCCACCACTCCCTGCTTCTCAGCTGTGGCTGCACACCTGCAAAGGCGGCAACACGGCTGGTACCAGGCCCCTAGTGTCGACAGCTCTCAGCTAACCCTGACTTACTCTCCCTCCCCAGGTATCGGCTCTCTCATCCTCCCTGCAGCTAATGGCAGTGGCAGATCCAAATTCCAGCCAATTGGAGGTAAAGGGGAAGCCTGCTGGGGTGAAGGTGTGGGGGCTCATAGAACAGATGATCTATTTCAGTAAAATCATGGAGATGCAGGACACACACACACAAACATGCACAAATGTGCATGTGCGTGTGCGCTACTGAGATGCTGGGACTGACACTGCCCTTCCGGGGACGAGAAGCGCCCTCCGCCGGCTGGGGAGAAGGGGGGTTGCGTGGTTACCTTCCGTTTGCGAGTGGTCAGCACTTGGAACGGCTGGATCTGCTTCTTTTCCCGGTCCCAAGCCACAGCTTCAGTGTCCAGGATAAAGGATGTGACTGAGGGGAGTTTAATCTGCAAAGCGAAGCAAGAGACGCAGGGCTTATGAGAGGTGGAGGACAAGGGCAGGAGACAGACGGGAGGAAACAGATTCCCCGACCTTCCATAGTGAGCCTCAGAGAGAAACACAAGCACAGACCCCCTAAGCGGAGAAACTAAGACCCCTGAGGCTTACACTTGACCCAACACGCTGACCTAGAAGCCTCCTCCGTCTCCTCCTTCTCACCCACGTGTAATTCCCTGGAGAACCTGTGACTCCCCAGCCCCCGCCAGCAGTCCCCAAGCCACCCCCCAGCCCACAGCAATGGCCAGGCTGCCTCTTCCGGCTGCTCTCCCTCCTCCACCTCTGACTTCCTTTGAGGAATAAACAGGCCATGCTTAAGTGCTACGTGCAGACAAATGTATTCTGCTCGCCTGCCTGTAAACCCCACTGCGCCCGGCCGGCCTGGATGGGCCCGCGTCTCCGCAGCCGCAAGCACGGCCCTGTCCGCGAAGGCGCAGCACCTGCCCACCTTGGGGATGCGGCTGATGATGTCGGGGTACTTCCCCGTGTTGTCCTCCTGATTCCTGCTGAAGATCTTCACCTCCCCGCCTTCCAGAACATGGATCTGCCGTCGAGGGGGCAGACGAGGCAACGAGAGCTGAGACCACCCCTCGTGGCCCCTGCTCTCCCTTCAGACCCACCCTCCCCGGGAGAGGGTCCAGGTTACTCTGGAGGAAGAACTGGTGCAAAGACCTGAGCAGGTGGCTCCTGGCACTTCCCACCTGTGTGCGCAGAGCCTGCCGTCGTCCCTGCCTCCACTCTAGACCCTGCTCTCCCAGCACACCTGTCCCGAGTGCTGCTCTAAACGCTGCTGTGCTGCACCTGCCATTCTGGATTCTACTGCTGCCTTATTTCAACAGTCTGTCAGTCCGTGAGCAGGGCTGCATACATGGCATCTCACATATATGTGATCTCAATAACTGTATATATTCGATAGTCCTATTTGGTGTGTGTGTGCAAGCTCGTGGAGGGTAAGGTCAGAGCGAAGAGAATTTGTTGTCAGCAGGAAGATCTCTTTACTTAGGCTCTGCTTTGCAGTGACGAGATTTGGCTGTACTTTCTGAGAGGTATTGTCTACCACTTCTCCTCATTCGATTTAATGGGGCTCGATCCAGACAGAGCCACTCCAGGCGCTGGGAGACTGTACCACGCACAGGGAATGGCAGGCTGGAAGCTCTATATTTATATTTGAAGTCATGACCCCTGTTCCCAATCATTTTTACTTTTTCTTGACATTATTTTGAACAGGTTACATCACCTCTAACATGGTGTCTGTTCATGGAATCCACTGCCTGCAACTACCTCAAAGCCCCACAGACAGTGTGCACCTCCTGCTCCCCCATGCCTGTGAGAAACAGGAGATGGTTCTGAGTCCCACCAGGTCAGAGGGGCCACAACACATTTCCTTACAGATCCCAGGACGACGGACGTCACAGGAGACGTGTACATCCCTACATTAAGGGTCAGTGGGCGCCTGCTAAAATGGCTGTCACGGTTGACACACCTCGAGCCAGTGGAGCCAGTGGAGCCAGCACTCCCGGACCTCCCACCACCCTCGGCCAGGACTTCTGGCAACTCTGCCTCCCATATTGGGCACCCTTTGCAAGGAGGAAACTGAAGCCCAGAGACAAGTGAGGTCAGCCAGGCAGCACGTGGCAGAGGCAGGGTCCGAGCCCGGGCCCGCTTCAGTCATGGCCCCAGCCCCGGCTTCCTCCCGTGAGCAGAAGGGCTGGACTTGCCCCATACCTGTGCCCTCTGCCCATCGTATTTGTACTCGCAGGTGAAGGCTGCCTCCTCAAAGCGTTTCAGGACCTCACTGACACCCCGAGTGGGATGGGCCAACATGGGTTTCAGAGGGACCCCTGGGAGGAGACGGGAGAGTGAGTTGGGGGGACTGGTGGCCGAGGGAAGGTGCTAAATCAGAGGATGCAAGAGGGGAGGAGGCCATGACTGTGCCCGGGACCCTCTCCCATCTTCTGCCTCTACAGAAGAGTGCACCCAACCATATTTCAGGGCACTGGTGACCCCAGTCCCCAGCCTCTCTGGCAGTTAGGAGGCCATGTGACTGGAAAGCACACAGGGGCAACTTGTAGCATCTGGATGATCCTTACAGGTAACACGGGTGCCTCCCCTTCCCCCAGCACAGGATAATAAATGTTACAGTCGGAGGGCAGAGGAACAGAACAGACGGAACTCAGGCTCTGGGTGATTCCTGAGCAGTGGCACACTGTCTGGCTGCCCGCCTCGCTCTACACAGCAATCCTACACGACTCAACTGCCTTCTGGGGTAACTGCCCACATCCTGTTGCTCAGTTCAGAAGGGGAAGGCCGAAGGAGGGGAGGGAGGGTCTCAGTACCAGTGGACTCGGGGGCGGGGGGCTCTGCAGGTCCTTGGGGTGAGAGTGGCTGGTATGGAACACTCACACTGCCTCTGCAGAGGGTGGGCTGCCCCGGCCTGAGGGCTGGGATAGTACCTGGGCTCAGCTTGCAGTGCTCCGGGAGACGCTCCAGGCCATGTTCCAGCAGCACGGGGATGATTCGGTCCAGGTCAGGCACCTCGCTGGGGTGGGGGGCAAGAACAGTTGAGGAGTCTTTCTAGAAGTGGCACACCTTGAAAACTCGTTAGCTGCAAGTGCTCACGGGCACAGATCCCAGTCCATGCCCAAACCTGGCTCCCTGAATGCCTCTGCCTATCTTGGTCAGCATGTCCTCAACTCCTTGTCATGCGTGTCCTCTCTCGGTCAGTAGAGAGAGAGTGGTCACACACCACTCTGACTCTCCCTTAACCACTGCCCCTTATCTGTTATCACGGGAGCAGTGATTCCCCAAGAGAAACAGGAGACCAGTTTCCCCACACCAGATTCCACCTGGAAAGATTCCGATCTAACTGGTCTGGGGGTGGGGGTCCTCGGTACGTGGAGTACAGCTGAGCCACTGCTCTGGCCTGGGAGCTCTGCAAGGCCTTGCCACAGCTGTATGCCCAGGAGCGGCGGCCCGGCCCACAGTGGGTACCTGGGGACGTGTGGAATGGCTCGGTGGCCTTCCAGCCTCTGACAGTCTGTGTCTTGCTGTCAACAGCCGTGGGTCAGTGCCTGGCCAGGGCCCCTCCACATGGCCTGCTCCAGGGATGTTGCCAATGACTGGCACCATCACTAAGGCTCAGTCGCAAGCATCCTGGCTGGAACTCTAGGCTTCCCGACCCTGCTGCCCTCACGTGCTGTCAGGGTCCCCTCGCGGGCCACGCCCTTCACTGTTTGCCACCCTCCTGTGCCCCGCACCACCCTCTCTAGGTCACCAGCCCAGTGACAGTCATTGGTGTGTGCCAGCCTCTGGCCCATTCCTCTGCCCCAGCCCGAGGGTCTCACCAGAACGTCTGCTTCAAGATCATGCCTTGCTCCTCCAGCCACGTCTTTCTGGCCTCTGTGGTCTTGCCCTTCCCGGCATCCAGCACGGCTGGAGGGAATTCTAGGAAATGATCCACCAAGGGCTCTGGGATGGGTCTTATCCCTCAGCTACCCCCAGGGTCCACCAGGGCAGCCCGCTGCAGGACGAAGAGCGCAGACGTGGCTGCCCAAGAACCTTTCCCAGGGAAGGGGAGCATGGAGAGGCAGGAACGACGAGGGCAGGGCAGGATGTGGACTTCTGAGACGGAGAAACCCAGTGACAGGCACAAAGAGGGGTCAAAGGCGCTCACCTTGGCCTGGGGGCGTGAGGCTCACAGCCTGGGAGAGGGCAGCCAACACTGACTGCTCGGCCAACCCGAGGCGCAGCCGTCCACTCAGGGCCCTGGAAAGAGAGTGAGGAGCGGGCTGCCTGGCGCCTTCTAGTTTTGTCCCTCTACATCTCGCCCCTGCCTCCTCCCATCTTCCCCAGCCCAGATCTCTGCAGACACTCCTCAAAAGCCAGAGCAGGAGCCAGCGATATAGCTCAGCAGCACAAGCACCTGCCTGGCAAATGCAAGGTCCTGAGTTCGACTCCCGGTACCAAAAAAAAAAAGAAAGCCAGAGCAATCTTGGCTCTGAGTCGGGGAGGGACCCAAGAAGTTACACAGCCTGTTTAACAGAGGAGGAAACAAAGTGGCCAAGTATGACCCCGAGCACCAGGCTTTGGTGTTGTCCCTTCTTATCTCTAATACCCTGAGAGGTGCTAGGGCTTAGGGGGTGAGAGTCGTGGGCAGGGTGGGCTTGAAGCCAGGAGGCCCACCCTGGCGGTTACAATGGTCAAGACTTGACCCAGCACAGGCCTTGGTTAGAGTAAGTGACTGCAAGTGGCCCACCCTCCTACGCCTTTATATCCACGTCAGGGGTAAAGACAACAGGGTTTGCCTTGCAGCTGCTGGACTAAGGAGATAAGGCACTTGGTGCAGGGGAGGACACCTAAAATATGCTCCAGGACATGAGCAGGGAACTATTTTCCTTCCATTGTCATGGCAGACACATGGCTTCATGCTATTCGGCTCTGTCACTCGGGCCAGGGCAGACATCACTAATCAACCACAGCATGCTTTGAGTTGAGCTCTGGGACTCTTCTCCAGGCAGCACTACTACAGCACAGCAGTCAGTCTAAGAAGGAAAGCACATCTCACCTTCCTCCTCCCCTGGGCCTGGGCTTTTGATTATGTTTTTCTCACCCCAGGTAGGAGGGCGAACAGGCCATCAGCAGTGACTCCAGCAGCCGAGCTCCCCTATCTTACCTGCTGGTTTGTACCCTCTGCAGCCTCGGGGCCCACACTCACCGGGCGATGAACCGGGCTTCTGAGTGGCGGCAGGCGACGAACAGGCCTTTGATGATGTCCATCTTCTTGGTCATGGACTGGAGGAGGTGGAGGGAGAGCCAGAGCCTGATGGTCAAGGGAGGGACCACCCCCGCTCCCTCTACGCCACTCCCATGGCCACCTGGTCTCAGGGAAGTACAAATGAGCGGCTTTCCTCCCCGCCTCCCTCCACCCGAGAGTTCGCTGAGTCCTGACACCTGGCAGGCTGGTACCGGGTGCTAGAACTGATCTCTAGAGCAGATGCCCAGGCTTGAGAGCAGGAAGGACAGGAAGCTTCATACCCCACAAGCAGAACTGAAGAGACCCAGCCCAAGCGGTCTAAGCAGTAGAACCCGAGGCATCTGGGTACTGCGATACATGCCCTTCCCCACTCACAGCATTGCCGGTGAGCAGGGCGATGTCCCGGAACTTGTAGAAGACCCCAGAGGTGGTAAGAGGGGGCGGCGGCAACATCAGTCTCTGGGTGCTGCGGCTGTTCTCGGCCACCAGCCCCACGTCGCCCTTCTCAACAGCCTCAGCCCGGACGGATTCTAGCTGCCGGCCTTTGGGGTGAGGGGAGAGAGCACGGGCAGAGCGGTGAGGGCCAGTGTGGCAGTGCGCCTCCTTTCCAGGGTGGCGTACATGTGTCCTCTCCAGCTGTATGTGCCTGTGGCCAGGCCTGGCACTTTCCTGTCCCTTTCCTTCCCCACTTGACAGGGACAGCTTGGAAGTATCTGTCAACTGTTCTGTCAGGGCAAGAACCCCTCAGGACAGTCACGCAGAGTAAAGCAGTGAGACAAACGTGCCTGTAGTTATAGAGGCATCTGATGGCCAGTCCCCGTGCAGGTAGGACTTCAGAGCCATAGGGTGGGATACGGCCACCAGGGAAGTGGGTAGATATAGCAAGCGAGGCCAAGGGACCCTCGCTGCTCATAGGAGCCTCCGGCAGTGGCCAATGAGCCTTTCGTTTTTGTTTGTTGTTGTCATTACTCTCTGTTTTGAAGTCACTCATCTAAACACACAAGGCCTTACTTGTCCAGAATTAGATTCCCCCCAGCACCCCTAAAGGTAAGAGCAGGAGGCTGGGGAGACAGAGACATGGGTCACAGTGACAGCCCTGACCAGCAGCTCGCAAACCATCAGAACTAATATCCGGGTCCCCACAGGTACCTGTGACACCACTTTTCTATCCTGCATCAAATGCAAAGATAAGGTGACCCATCAACATGCACCATTTCAAGAGCTGCCCTTCCCCTAATGACGAAAGGAAATCAAAGAGAAAGACACTCATGAGGAAACAACATGCACGTCTCCTGCCACCGGGCTGCTGCACAGAAGACACAAAGGGTCAGAGCTGGTGTCTGCAAGCAGAATCGCCATGAACGAGACAGCCGCAGGTGCAGCGGTCAGCACGGCGTGGGGCGGCTCACACTGCCGCCAACTGTGATGTGATTTTACCGAATGATGAGCAACGCACAGCAAGCCTGGGCCTTGGGCAGCTATCGGGGCTACATGGAGATGTGCGGGCCGAGTGCTGCCGTGCCGAGGATGGAAGCCCAGGAAGGCAGGAGAGGCCTCCTGCCGGGGTAATGTGTTCTTAACTGAAGAAAATAAATCCTCCTTAAATGGGTGTGACGGGCACTTGACTACTGTAGCTGAGAATATCCAGATGAACGGGCCGCACTGGGTGGGCTACGTCACAGCACAGCACATGGCCCACGAGTGGCGAGAGGGTCTGAGTCATCTCTCTTGGCCCCTGTGACCCCATCATTGCTTCCTCACCCGACTCTGTCCTTTGTCTTCTCATCAAACCCCCAACTCCTTCCTCCCTAAATGGAGTCCACGTTACTTGACCCTGAGCTCCCCAAAGTCCTCCCTCAGGCAAATGACCACTCCCAGAGCTTTGGGCAGCTGTCCTATGTTGACCACTCCTAGACCTTGGCCTCTGACCCAGGTCTGTGGAGCTTCAGGCCCACTGCGGAGGCCCCAAATAAAGGCTGTGAGCGCCCAGTACCGTGTGGGAATTATTAGCTCCCCCACTCTGCCTGCCCCTCCTCGGATGGCTCCAGCACACACCTGGCGGCAGCGAGGTCCCAAGGGTACCTGACCTTGTCTACCCTGGCCCCTACACCACAGCCCCGGCCCCACCCTGCCCCTCTGCCCCCCTCTGCTCCTTTCATCGCTGCCGGCTCCTTCTGCCCTGGGACATTTGCCCAGCTTCCTCGCTGGCTTCCTCTCCTGTCTGTCCTCAATGTGGGGACAGCCAACCCCATCCTCATTCCATCACAATCCTCCTTGGTCCCCTCAAGCCCTGATCGGTAGCCAGCACTCCAGCTGCTGCCCTGGCAGATGGGCATCCCCGCCTCGGCCTCTCTGTGCACCTCTATGGCTCAGGCCTGCATTTCTGTTCCCCTCCCCACTCCCCGGCCCCAGGCCCCGCCAGCCCAGGTCCTTCAGGAACTGTTACCTCCATAAACACCAGCAACCCTAGCCCCTCCTCTCCATCCCCACCACCCTTGTCCCAGCACAGGTCCGGGCCTCCCTCCCTGGAACCGCTACGCACCCCGTGCTCCCTCCACCGTGGCACCCTCTTACCTGTGGCCTGGGCCACGGCCTTGAGAAGGACACCATCACCGACGCCTAGCTCCAGGCCCTGCTGGGGAGGCCCAAGGCGGTTAAGGGTGAGGTACAGAACAGGGAGCAGGTCTGGAGGGGACAGGGCCACCACGGAGCGCAGCAAGTTGCTCAGCGTCTCCACCATCCGGAGCCTGGAGGAGAGGACAGGGCTGTGACCACTTGGCTCTTCAAGGTCAGTGGAAGGTGTGTGCCGTGTGGTGGGGTGGGTGGAAGAGGAGATGGGAAACGGTAAAACCCAAAGGAAGCCCAGGGATCACTTGGTGGTATCACAGGGGTGTCCCAGTTTGAGCTCTGTCCTAAGCGGAGACCAGCCAGTAACATGAAGGACAGCTGGGTCAGCACAAGCAGGGCTTGAAAAGGAACGAAGGAAAGAAGAGGAAACGGCTCAGAAACATTCTGAGGAGCACAACCTGATGCCACAGGCAAAATCCCAGGCTGCCGGCGGGGCAGAGCCCTGAAGACAGCGATGACGACACCAGAGAAGCGACAGCTAAGGCATGCACAGCATTGTCCACATGACGTGCGGTTTTCAGCGCTTCGGACATTCTAACGCTCAGAGTCCTCTCAGCTCCCCTGAGACAAGCACGGTTATCTCTCATCTTGAAGATGAAGGACAGAGGCACAGGAAGATGACAAGACTCGGAGAGTCACAGAGACACAGGTTCCAGCCACTAAACCACAGCATCTGCCTGTGTCACAGCTGGAAGGAGCCAGGCTTGTCACTGGTCAGCTCTGATGGCTTCACTGAAAAGAGACGCTGTCTTTTTCTTAAACAGAAGAAGGCCAGTGGACAATTTTTTTTAAAAGAAGGAATGAGAGAAACACAAAATCACCACTTGGCAAACGCCACAGTACCAGATGTTGCAGGCGAGAGCCCCCACCGATCACTGCAGCCGCCAAGCTGATGGCAGCACAGGCCGAGGGCTCCCTCGGGAGGGGCCAACCCCAGCCACCCAGACCTCAGACCTCTGGCCCCCCACACTGTAGGGGGGTAGGCGTCCGTGGTCCTACACTTCCAAGTGCGCAGCGCTATTTCCCAGCAGCCCTGGGACACCACCACAACTATGAAATTAATGGGAGGAAGTCTGCCAAGAAAGAGAACCCCCTCAAGATACCTATTAGATGCAAAGGGGACGATGACAGTGAAAACCCCTGCCAGACAGCACCGGGGCCACGTGACCAGCCCCAAGAGAAATCACGAGAAAGCACTGCTTCTGTGGACTTTAACCAACACAGGTCACCTGAAACTAATCCTGAGGGAATGCGGCACAAAGCCCGGGTGAGACGGTCTGCACCACCAGCTCCTTCACAAGGGCAGAGGTCGTGATGGACAAAGGCCAACTGAAGCCTCGTCTAAGACACGAGCCAGGGCAGGCCAGCTACGCACAATGGGTGGGGAACCCGGACTACGAAAGATGGAAATGGGAACGTTCAAACGAAGTCTGTGCAGCACTTAAGGGTCTCATGCGGATGTTGGATCTGACCACCGTCCCACACTGACACAAGCCACGAACGTGGAGGGAAACTGAGTCAGGGTAGGTGGAGGACTCTGCATCGTTTGATGTGTTCTATAAATCTACATTTCTTAGATTTTTATGAATCTAAATTGGTCTTTAAAATGTTGTGAAAAATGTGACTGAGCCCCCAGTTTTGGACCAGCGGGTCAGGATAGTCACCTGCCATTCTCCTCGAGTAGACGATTGCTAAGCTTCTCCTGCAACTAAATCCTGCACTGTGTTAACGTCAGTCTCCACAGTGAGATGTACAACCTTCCTTTACTCATGAAGAAACGGGCTCGGAGAGGTCAAGCCACCCGGCTCAGGCACAAAGGCAGGGAGCAGCAGAACCAGGCCCAATGTCTGCCCATCCTCTAGGCAGGACCCTTGCCCAGCTGCTGCCCACAGCACAAGCCCTCAACCTTCCCACATCTATGACCCGTCTGGCCCCCCACACATAGGGTCATGCCCCAAAAAAAGTTCTCAAACATCCCCAAAAGACCCATTTATAAGAATAAAGCATTAGCAACAGCCTAAACTGCTCGACTAATGCTGAGGAAGTAAAAAATGATATATATGAAGGCCACCACAGAGCAGTTGAAACAAGCTGCAATCTATTTAAACCAAACAGAGAGATATAAAAACAAGCGGCATGGTAAGAGCAGGCAGCAGAAGGAAACGCGTCGCAGCAGATACTAACTAGACGCACGAAGGGAGGGAGCCGCGCGGGGAGGGGGTGGGGCGGCGGCCAGGAGGGAGCAGAGCGGGGGCACGGAAGACCAAGGCTGTGCACAGCGCACGCTGGAGTGACGTGAATGTGCTGCCGACAAGCACCGGGCCGCAGGCAGCCCTGGGCACGTGCCGGCGCAGTCACTGGGCGCGGGAGCTCTGCAGGGGAAGCACAGAGTGAAGCGGTGGGTCTTCACTATGACCAAGATTACCGAGCAGAAACCTCCTCGATCTTCTCAAACGTCCGGGCCACGGCCAGGTAAGGGACCCTGGGGAGGAAAAGAGACACAAGAGTCACCTGAATACCCACACGGGTCCCCCCCGCCACAGCTCCCCAGGGACAGGCTCGCCAACACCTAAATGCAGAAAAGCACCCTGCTCCCCGCCCTGGACACTCTCTATCCCTTTCCACCCTCCCGCCTGTGGACAGATCTGCTACTTCCTCCCGGTGAGCCCCCGGTGAGAGCTGCCCAGGGCACCGGGCACTGGAGGGGGACCCCACGGGAAGGCAGGAGCCTCACTTCTGGCCCCGGCTCCAGCACGCGTCCTCGATGGGATGGTAGTTATTCTTGGCGGGATTGTAGCTCACTGGCTCCGGGGGTCTGTGGAGGCAAAGGAGAGGTCAGACTTGGTAGATCTCTGGGGCAAAGAAGTCATGAGCATTTCCTGAGCACCTACTATGTGTCAGGCAGTGCTCAGTCACCTCTGTGACCTTCTCTCCTACTGCGCCCCCTTTCTTTTGCGCCCCTCCAGTCACACCGGCTCCTCCGTGTTCCTTAACGTCCAGGTGTGGCCCAGGGTGTGGCCCAGGGCTTCTGCACTTGCTCTTCTCTCAGCCCAGAACACTCTTCCCTGGCGCTCTCGCCCTCATCTCCTTCAGGTCTTTTACTCCCACGGCACCTTCCCCACGAGGCCAGCCCTGACCACCCACTGCTCCTCGCTGCCGTCCCTGCTCCATTCTCTGAGACAGCACTTACTAGCATGTGCCATATGACATAGTTTGCTTATGATTTATTTCATGTCCCCGCCAGAAAACAAGCAAGACTTTCGTGTCATTTAGTCTGCTGGATCTCCACACTTAAAACCACTGTCTATCGGACACCGTCGGTTCTCAATAAGCATCTGAGTGAACGGATGAATCTGACTGATGGAGAAAAAAACCTGAAGTATTCTGCTTTCTTTGTACATAGCTTGGGCAAGAAGAACCAGACACAGCTCCGGCCTTGAGGGAAGGAGTTTGTGGGCTGGTGGGGGAGGCATTTGGCCATTAAACAGGACATAAAAGAAAGCCTGTTCCCAGTGCTGGGGATACACACTGGCTCAGAGGGACGGAGAGGTGCCAGGCTTCTCCTGGCAAGAGCACCGTGAGCAGGGTGGCTGGGGACAGTGTTCCGGGATGGGTCAGCATACTCAGCAGCAGGGAAGACCAGCTGAGGGAGCAAGAGGGAGGCTGGCAATGTCAGGAAGCTGAGACTGAGGTGGGCTGGCTGGCTCGTGAGGGAGTTCGGCATTTACCTGGGTGCTGGGAAACCACACATAAGTTTTGAGCAGGACAAAGACGGGGGTCTGACCTCATTACTTGAAAGGTGATTCATCTATCCACCCACCCATCCCTACCCTAAATCTTCACAGATGCCTCCTGGGTACATACCAGGTACCATGGAAATGGGCAATGACAATGAAGCAATGAACTGTCTAACAGCCTCTTTGGTGTCCCTCAACCAGATACGCTGTGGACATCAAGAGGTCCGGGCACAGCGGGGCAGCGCTCCATGATCTACCCCGCAGGACACCCAGGCTGGCACAGGAGAGACGAAGAAACCCCAATGCTGGGCAGACTCCGCCTCTCAGCGGGGCGCACCCAGTGTGACACGAGCAGAGGGCTGAGACAGGAGGTGAGAGGTGAGGGGGGTGGGGCGTTGGTCACAAGGACTTAGATTTTTGTCCTGGGGGCACTGGTGAGCCCTGTGAAGTTGGGTCAACTATGGATGACCCAAAGATGCCCCCAAACCCTAGGGGTCAGATCGAGGCTGAAAGACTAGCGGCCTGTGGTCAGGGAAGAAGCTGAGGGAAGGGGGGGTCAGCAAACTCCAGCCCCAGACCTCAGATTGTTTCCATCTGACATCTGTGCTAAGAACAGCTTTGCAAGTTGGGGCACAGGTGGCCTGCAAAAACGAACAAACTTACTATGCGGCCCTTTCCAGACCAAAACAGAGAGACAGGGGAAGAAACTTTGTCAGGCCCCGCAGGAGAAGGAAGCCCAAACTGGGCCTGGGCCGTGGGAATGGGGTAGGGGACGCACCCGGACACAGCTGTCAGACCGGACGCTGACTTACCCCTTGGCCTCCTCCTTTCTCGGAGTACCTGACTGCTCTTCTTTCACTTCAGTTTTGACTGATGGCTTCCGGGGTGCTGGAAACGAAGCCAGGAAAGGAAGGGTGGGAGATCTTTTCTCCTAACAGCCTGCACCTGCCGCCCCTCGTCCACCCAGCATCAGCCCAAGCCCAATGTGACCGCTTGAGACCATGGGTGCCAAACGGGAGAAATGAGTTAGGCTTCTACGCAGCGGGACAGCCACAAGGGGCCTGGGGCACTCTCCGGAGGAGAGCCGTCCGCCTCCTACCTGTATCGCGCTGGGAGATGAGGAAGGAAGGGATACTCACTGAAGAAACTGCTGAGGGTCCTAGGGCCTCTGGGGGCAAGACCGCTCTGGTTCTTTTCCTGTGGCTCCTGCTTCCGGGCCACCTCGGGTGTAGAAACACTTTCTGTCTTTGCTGGGGTCTCTGCTTCTAAAGTGAGAGAGGGCAGACAATGAAGCAACTCCACATCAGGATGTTCTGTTGTTTAACCCCAGGGTGCTCTTGCCCTGTGGACAGAAAATCTGGCTGATTCTGCCTTTTAATTTCTGTAGCCTAAATCTGGATCCTTTCCGACCTGGGCGTGTACTCATCAGTGCATGGAATACAGGATTTGGCCTGAAATGGCAAACTTGCAAATAGTAGTGAAAAGAAGTCTCAGCTGATCAAAAGGCAATATCCCCACTTCTGCAGGTAGAGAAAATCAGATACAACACTCCATTCCTAAAACTGTCCCTGTAAATGTTGTCTCTGACCAGGGGTTCTCATGGGGTAACTCAGCTTAGACACCCACGTTAATGAATTCCTGCTCAGTTAATACCATTTACTTCTCACCTATCATGTCTGGAAGCTCTAAATACTTGGTTGGACTGGCTTTCCTCTTTCCCCATTTGCATGGCAGAAAGTAACAATGATTAAAAAATAAAAATAACACCGAAGCCTACAAGTCTCCACCATTTTGCATTTAAGTGGTTAAGAAGCTACATCTGTGCCTTGTATAAATTAACTGCCCTTTAAAGACTTGGATTGCAAAAATCAGAGTGACGGTGCCGGGGGGAAGAAGAGGATCAGAAACTCACTGCGGGGCTTTGGGAGCTCAGGGGGCGTTGAGGGCTGGTCCTCCTCCTCTTCTTCCTTCACTTTTGCCACGCCAGTCTCCGTGGGGCTTTCTCTTGGTGTCTCTGCCTCTGACGACAGACAGAAAAGGCAACAAAGGTTTACTCTGACCTTCAAAGACATTTCTACCCTGGCAACATTCTCTTCCCAGTTCTTCTTTTTCTACCAATCCAGTACAGCTGACCTTCCCTATCTGTGGGTTCCACACACGCACATTCAGCCAACTACTGCTGGAAAATATTTTTTAAAACTACATCTGTACCAAACACGTACAAGTTTCTTTAGTCACTGTTGCATAAATAAGACAGTGTAACAAGTATTTCCATAGCATTTCCACTCTACCATGTACTATAAGTAACCTAGCAAGGACTTGCACAGAATGATGGGTAAGTTACATGCAAACACCACAGATGCCAGTTTACTTAAGGAGCTTCACATCCTTGGATTTTACTGTTTTTGGGGAGCCCTGAAACCAATCTTCTGCAGACACCAAAGTACGACTGCATGGCTATAAAGTGACAGGAGGTGTCAAAGCTGCTCCAGGTCACCTCAGAGCCAAGCGGGACCTCTGGAGGATTCCAATCCCAACGTCTGCAGGTACCGTTGAGAAACAAATACAAATGGCCATTTAGTTCTTATAAGGTATCCTTTGAGAATTATTCACATCAAAGTAGAATGTGAAAGAGTTTAAAGCGTACATGACAACTTGCTACAGATCAAAAGGAAAAAAAATTTTAACACGACTGAAAAAAGTCATACCACTAGGGTAACAATAAAAATGATAAACACTAACGTGGGAAGTATTTGCCTTGCCCTCCCAACCCTGGACACTGACAGTAGCTAAGATGGCCCAATTTATAGTCAACACTGCTACTGACTGAAAATTGCCAAATGGAAATAAACTGGGTGTGGGGAAATCAGAACAACCCAAATTCAAATCTGCAGTGAGGAAACTGAGCCTAGTAAAGATGTTTTATCAAACAAAAAATATGGCTGGGGGCTGGGGATTTAGCTCAGCGGCAAAAGCGCCTGCCTGGCAAGCGCAAGGTCGTGAGTTCGGTTCCCGGTACCGGAGAAAAACCAAAACAAACAAACAAAAAAAAAAATATGGCTGTGCAGGAGGCTATGTCTGGTGGAATCTCACAGCGGCCCCAAATGATCTGGTGTTTTTTTTTTTTTTTGTTTTTTTTTGGTACCGGGAACCGAACTCACGACCTTGCGCTTGCCAGGCAGGCGCTTTTGCCACTGAGCTAAATCCCCAGCCCCTGATCTGGTGTTAATGGCTTTTTGAAGAAGGCGCTGGGCAGCTGCGTGATAGTCTTCTACAATTTCAGAGGGAACCCAGCGACATCTGCTGGACACTCTATGCACTGCTAGCTCAAGGTAGTTCTTAGTATAGGTGGCCCCCATGTACCAGGGGGTTCCAATTTAACCAACCACGGAACAAAATACTCAAGAAAAAAATTGCCTGTACTGAGCACATACAGACTATTTTCTTGTCATCATTCCCTACACAGCACAGTACAACAACTATTCACACAGCCTTTCTATTGTATATAGTCACCTAGAGAGGATTTAAAGCATACAGGAGGACGCGTGTAGGGTATACGCAAATGCTGCAACAATTTTAAGGACTTGTGCATCTGCAGACTTTGGTACCTGAAAGGGATCCCGGAACTGACCTTCCCCAGACACTGAGCAACTGCTACAGCACACCCCTTGCAATGTTGCTGCATCTCTGTACAGCTAAGTCTTTGTTGCTGCTGTGATAAAAATCACGTACTACACAAAAATCAACATGGACTAGGAGATGGGAGGGGCAGTCTTCCATTAGATTCCACAGCTTGAGACATACTGCAGTACCTAAGGCACACGAACGGGCATGTTGCAATGGTAACAAATACAGGGACTGATTTTCCTTTCAATGTATGTGTACTATTTAACAGTTGTTTAAACATAACTACTTAGTAAATGGAACCGCTGGTACTCGCCTAGGAGCACTGTGAAAAAACCACCAAGACAGTAAGGGCACTGTGAACCAAGAAAGCCCTGGGAGCTTCTACTTTACAGTAAAATGTAGAAGGAAAAAGAAACCCTCTGAAGGAAAATATACTCCATAAATCCAATACTAAAATAGAAGATTAAAAATGTGAAAACACGTATGAATTAATACTGAATTATTATGGCCAAATCAAAGCACACTTTCATAACAGTTCTTGTGTGAGTGCGGAATTCTGACTGACGTCTTCGAACTCCTAGACGCGGCATCAGAGGGGTCCAAAGCCCTGTACCACTCCCCTGCCCTTCCAAAGGTCCCTCACACACGTGCACGTGCACACACGCACACGCGCACACGCACACACTCTCCTCCAGGTCGCTCACCTTCCTCCTTCTTCCTCCTCTTGGCTTCTCTGTCCTTGTCCTCACTCTGATCTTCCAGGACGTCCTGAATTACCCGTTTCGGCAGCTGTTTCCGAGCTGGGGAGGCAGAGGGCTCAGTGCTGCTGACACTGCCTGTCTATTCCCGCCCCAGTGAGACCCACTAATGAAAAGCTGTGAAGAGCACCCACTTCTGTATCTGCCCATAGCCACTGCCCCAGCACAGGCCTTATCCTTGAGGCCCTACTTCTGCTTCCTGCTGTGTGACCGTGGGCATGTTACTTAACCTCTCTGTGTCTCTTCCTGCATCTGGGGAATGGAAATACTCTCATCAGGTAAACAATGGTGGATGTGCTCAGCACAGCTCCTGGCGCTCTCAAGCGCTCTCAGTGCCCCACATGAACCTTGGGATCTTACTATCTCTGTGCCCTGCAGACAGCTTTTCTACAACTTCAGGGGCCTGGATGTAGCAGGAAATCCAAGGGTCAGGGGAGCAACAGCAGTGACCAAGAACAGCTAGTATGTAAAACCCCAGCTCCCTAAGCCGAGGGTTAACTCGGGCACACGCCCCCAGCATCCCCTAGCCTCCCCAGAGAACTGCGAGTTCATTGTGAGTTCGAGGCCAGCCTGGGCTACAAAGTGAGCTCAAGTTCAGCCTGAACTGCATAGCGAGACCCTGTCTCAAAAAACAAAAGCAAAAACAAAAAAAGGCAGTTCCAAGCACTCCATCATTCTCTCCCCCACCTGGGCCATCCGCCAGCTCCTCCCCACTCATCTGGCCCACAGCTCCTTCACACAGCCCCAGAGCGGTGCTGGGGCTCAGAGGTGAGTCTCCCAAGGCTCGTGTGCTAGGGGCTTGGTCCCCTGTGCAGCAGTGTGCAGAGCTGACAGGCTTTTGGGAAGTGACTGCGTCACTGTAACTCCTACTTCATCAAGTGGATTAATCCACGTATGAGTTCGTGACACAAGGGGCTTATTAAGGAAGTGGTGCCTAGGGGCTGGGGATTTAGCTCAGTGGCAAAGCGCCTGCCTGGCAAGTGCAAGGTTGTGAGTTCGGTTCCTGGTACCGGAGAAAAACCAAAAAAAAAAAGGAAGTGGTGCCTAATGAACTGGGGGAGCAGGTCACTGAGGGTGTGGCTTTGAATAGTCTGGGTTTAGGGTTTGGCTCACTCTCTCCCACTCTCTTCCCCTCCTCCCTCCCCCCATCTGCAGGCTGCCATGATGCTCCCGTGTGCAACGTTCTCCCTCCAAGCCAGTCCTGCCCCATTTCTGAGGCTCAGCTCAGCCATCAGCTTTGGGCTGCCTGACTCCTCAATTGCGAGAATGACCCCCATTACTAGCTCTGCCCAAAGGAAACATCTGGTGAACCACACATGGGATTTTAAAATTGATGGCAGCCATGTTAAAAAAGAAAAAAAGTGAACTTACTTTTGATTAGGATTTTACTAAACTCAATGAACCCAGAATGTGTTCAATATGAAATTACCAACATTCTGGGTTTCATGCCGTCTGCAAAATCGGATGCACTGACTGCACATCTCAACTCAGAAGCCAAGTGTTCATCAGCAATACTTTATGTAGGTCTCACAAAATTTACAGTTAAAAAAGTAGATTCACATATTTAGATTGTTCTGGAAATACTCCATCTGCCACTGTAGTTTCATGGCTCTAGTTTCTTCACTAACTAAATCTAGTGCAGGTGTGTTATGTCTTCTCCAAAATGCTTAGGACCAGAGGCATTGCAGAGTTTAGAGTTTCATATTTTGGAACATCGGCACAGACTTTATCAGCTGGATTGATGTAAGGCTTAAAACGTTTTGATTTTGGAACATTTTGTATTTTGGATTAGAGATATTCAACTTACAGTGGCTTTGTACCCAAAGCTCTGAGAAGGTCAGTCACTTGCCCAAGGTCACACATTTGCCCATGACGGAGGGTAGTGGTTGTGCTCTTAACCACAGTGCTAAGATCGGGGCCATAGCAAGGACAGCCACCTCATGCTCAGACCCAAGTGCAGAGAAAGATGGCAGCTGAAGGGGCCAGCTGTCCTTACCTGTGAGACGCTTTGGTATTCCTGACGGGGAGATGTCTATGGGGGAGGTGCCCGAGAAGGAAGGGCTGTTCTTGGGACACGTGGCAGGGCTGGCAGGGGACCCCTGTGGGGAGTCTGGCCCGGGCTTCTGGAAGAGAAGAGAGAGCAGTTCCAGAGTGAGGGAAGGGGGGACCTCCAGAAATCTCTGCTCCTCAACACTGAGCAGGAATTCTGAGCCTGTCTCTGTGCCTACTCTTCTTGCTGGCCCAAAGGCCCAGGCCCAGTCTAGGCCGCCCCTCCCACGTGGAGGTCAGCACTCCATCTGCCAGTGTAGTTTTATGGCCTCAGATTCTCTGCATAAAGCACCCCAATAACAACTCTTTTCTGAGGGAACAGAATCTTTGGTCTTTAGCTATGAATACTTGCATGCTGGTTCAACTAACAACTACCTGTCCCTGCTTGTAACTACTGTGGTCATGGGTCTCAGGGCAACACAACATAGAGGGAAATGGTGCAGACTTCCCTTGGTTCTAATAAAGTCACTTAGAGCGGAGCGCCCTCCTTTTCCTGACAGCCCGGTCAATGTTCGCTCTGACAAGGGCGTGCAGGAACAGCAAGGAACGACGTAGAAGGGCCTCAGTCTCTGACTGTGAGACTGCCACATGAATCCTGGAATTTCTGTGCTCACCAGAGAGAAAGATAAACTTCTATCTTGCCTGAGCCACTGTTACTAATGTCTTGGTTTCAACTACAAACTACCTCACAGGCCCCGTCCTGGTTATTAAGCTCCAAGCTCACGGCTCTGCACCCTCCCTTGCGATGCCTGGGCTAGGACTCACAGCCCATTTCACACACCGACAGCCAGTTCTGCAGCAGGTGGTGCCAACGCGGGGCACTGGAAGGGCCTACAAAAGCGGAGGTGCGGCAGAGTTTCCTGGGCCAGCTGGTGGGCTCAAATGAGTTTCTCTAACACTTGGAGGGCCTGCCACACAGGACCCCATCAGGGACTCCTCCTGCCCAGTGCCCCTTCCACAAAGATTTGAGTCTTGGGCCTCTTCCAAGCTCAAAGAGCCCAGCCTCACCTCTGCCAGCACCTGTCAGGGAGGTCTGGGTTCCAGCTCCTTGCCCTAGAACAGGGTAGAGCACCAGGCGGTGGCTACCTCCACAATGCCTTGGGAGTCCTTTTTACCCTTTAGCCACCAAGCTAACAACTGTGCACCCAGGTGACAATCCTTTATATTAAACTTTGTTTAAGTTCCTGGTGTGGTTTGTCTCCTATCTGGACCCTGACAGACACAGATCTCCAGGGTGTATTTTCAATGCTGCCCAGGACCAAAGCAATTTTTTTCTCTCTTCTGCTCAAAACCCTTCCATAGCTCCCACGTAGCCTCAGAGCAAAGTCCAAGCTCCTAAAGATGTCTACGGCCTATTCCCCAGAAGAGGTGAGTATGTCACATTCCATGCCCAAGGCAATAAGCTCACCCATCATCTGACCTTAAGACGGTGCGACTATCTGGGTGGGCCCAATGCAAAAACTGGGTCCTTAAGAGCAGAAGAGGGAGGACAAAGAGGGCAGTCTCAGGAAAAAATGGCACAGAGAAAACCATGTGACTGGCTGAGGAAACAGAAAGGCTTCTTAACACTGGAAAAGGTAAGGAAGTGGATTTTCCTCTACAGCCTCCAGAAACGAACAGCGCTGCCCACGCCCTAGAGTTCTAATCCCCAGCTCTGTCAAATAATGACAAACTAATGGAAGCAGTCAGGGGAGTTTCACTGCGGTGACATCTGAGCAAAGCTCTGAAGAAAGAGGACAGAGCAATGTGCATCTGGAAAGGCAAGGCAGGGAAAAGAATCAGCAGCAAAGGTGGAGGCCCACATGCTGTGCATGAGATGCTGGAGCGGAGAGGGCCAGGAAAGCTCTGTAGATGAGAGGGAAGACGGCAGGCAGGGAGAAGAGAGAGGATCACAGGGTCCTATAGGTGTCTATGTGGTCAGACTGGCCTGAGCTGGCAATGCCAGCGGGTCTGAGCAGGACGTGACATCACCACGGATCACCCCACAGTCATCAAATGACTTTTAAACAGGAAGAAATGGCCTGATGTATTTGGAAGAGAGCAAAGGCCCTCTAACCACAGGCAAGAGCGCATATATATGCGAGCCCTTACTCTGTGGCAGGTAGTACTCTCAGATCTGTGTGACCTGACTCACTTGGTCTTCGCAGCCCACCTGGGAGGCAGGTGTCACCAGGAGTGCATGTCACGGTGAAGCACGACGAGGCCCACCGCCTGCCCTGCCCCCTTGCCCAGGTCAGCGGGCAGTGAGGGCCTTGCGGACCAGGCCGTCTGCCTGAGGGCACAGCCACTGGGTCTGCTCGCCCCTGAGAAGTGTCTGGAGCCCCACTGAGCAAGGGGCACCCAGTCCCCCAGGGAGTGGGCGCCAGGGCTGCTGCTAGGAAAGTGGCCAAAGGGGCCTACCTGGTCTTCGGTGGGGCTGAGGGCTTCATCCTCCTCCTCCCCTTCGCTGCTCAAGACCCGGGCTGCCTTCCTCCCTGGCCTCTTCACTGGAGAGTCACTCTCGGGCACCACTCCATTCCGCTCCTTTAGTGCCACCCTGGAAGGCAGGGAGATGGGGGTGTACGACAGGCAGCATGGGGGCACTGTGCCCAAACACTCCAGTTCCTGCACTACATTCTCTTCCTTTCTTTTCGAGGACACAGTGAACATTTTCTAGGTGTGTCACTGGCACATGTTCTTTTTTTCTTTGATTTTGGTACTGCACATATTTCAAGCCTTTTTAATTTTTTATTTGGAGACAGTCTCATGAAGTTACTAAATTGCCCAGGCTGGGCTTGAAATTGCAATCCTCCTGTCTCAGCCTCCCAGAGTGTTGGGATTACAGGTGTGCACCACCATATCCACACTTCATCATCCACCCACTCCTCCATCCCATCTCTGGAGGCCTCCTCAGTGCCCACCTTGTGGCAGGTGATGCAGGGAGGAGATGGAACACCCACCTAGGGCAGGGACTGGCCTGCAACATCCATATAGGGATCTTTCTTCCAGTTATAGCAGTTTTAGTTGGGCTCATGGCACCCAGCCAGGAATTACACTCCCAACCTCTCCAGCAATGGGCGTGGCCACATGCCAAGTTCTGGCCAATAGGATGGATGTAAGTGGCCTGACATGCATGTAGCCAGCTCCAACTGCTGCCCTTCAGGCTATATAAACCCTAAAGTCAACCCACTCACTTGCTTTGACAATACAATGAGGGCAGCAATGAAAACTGGGCCGGGACAACCTAGTGGCACAGAGCCACCTCCCCATCTTAACCTGCCTCCACACCTCGGAGTCTTCCACAAGAAAAAGGCAACTTGTATTTTAAGTAAGTCACTGTGACTTGGTTACTGTTAAAGCAGCTCAACTCCTCCTCCGATGCTGGCTCTGAGCCCCCACTCTGTGAAGGACACAGACACAGCCTGTCACAATGCAGGGCCACGGCACTGAGAGCAGCTGACGTCCACAGGCTCCTGCACTCACACAGCTCACAGTCTGCACGTACACCCTCTTACTGTCAGTGAGGGGCACTCACTGTATGGAACATCACCACCGAGGACGACGTGGGTTTGTACGCAGCATCTTGGAAAGGGCTGTGTAACCGTTTTGGTGGAAATAAAAGGAGCTGTCAAGCTAGGTGAGGAACGGCTGTCCATTTTGTAACACTAACCCCGGGGGGCCTAGAATAATGCCTGGCACATAGAAGACACTTGATACTTTCTGAATAAATGTATATGACTCCAAAAAGTTAATTAAAAAAGAAAAAGAATGCCTCCCAACATATACAGTGGTATCTCGGTTCACAAACGTAATTCTTTCCACAGTTCTGGTCATGAACTGAATCAGATTTCCTCATGAGGTACAATGTTACTTTATTCAGGGTTCTCAAACAGAGGCAAAATTTTGCTGAACTGAATTGTTCAAGAAAAGAAGTGTTCATAAACTGAGGCACTGTATCACTGTATATAAGCAATTTGCATACATAATAGTCTTACTCTGTCACTGAATATCTATTACACGTCTGGCAATATCCCAGCTGCATAACATGTAACAGCGACCAAAAGAACAGTGCTCAGTATCCAGTATGGGAAGCACCTACGCAGTACTTACGTGCCAACACTGTTAGGTGCATAGACCTCAAACTGGTGCAGATAGTTCTTCTGGGGAGTGAATATTGGAGGGAATTCAAAATTTAAATGTATCTACTTTTCTGAATTGGCTCTTACATTCATCACATGTAACTCCACTGTGAGTACCCATGTTAGACAGACAAAAATGTCTGTACACATGCTAAAGACACACACATAGATTAAACTGTAGCGCCAACTGTTACATCCACAAACTGGAAACAACCTTAATATCCACACACACAGAAATGCTAAATAATTCTGTAGCATGCCCATAAAATGGAACACAAGGTACAGACAAAACGAGATAGTCCCTGTGCTCATGAATGACAAAAAATCTCCTCCAAGTCATAATGGGAACTGAAGGAACAAGGTGATACAAAATGATTTAATTTTTTAAATTAAACCACAAAATGCCAGGTGTGGTGGCACATGCCTGTAATCCCAGCATTCGAGAGGCTGAGGCAGGAGAATCCTTATGAGTTTGAGACCAACTGGGGCTATAAAGTGAGCTCAAGGCCAGCCTGAACTGCACAGCGAGACCCTGCCTCAAAAAGACAAAAAAATTTTTAAAAAATTAAAAAAAAAAAAAAAAAAAATTAAACCACAATAGCTGCATGTGGATAAATAAAGCTACACGTGTATGTACATACAGCCGTGCATACACCAAAGGGGCAGATCTGAGAATCAAGTGTGTTGATTCTAGCCCTGTGCTGAGGGCCTTTGATGAGCCAAGCACTGTTCTATAAACTATCCATCACTGCTCCCTGAATCCACACAGGAAGTCTGACCTAAGTGAGTTACTTTTGCACAGGACAGCATACATGGAGGATGTGAACTAAACCTGCTGAGTCCATGCTCTCTCTGGTAAGGGAACTGGCCCAGGGGTGATGTGACCCAGGCAAGGTATATGGTCAAGAGATGGCCAGTGAGGGGCTGGGGATTTAGCTCAGCGGCAAAGCGCTTGCCTGGCAAGCGCAAGGTCGTCAGTTCGGTTCCTGGTACCACAGAAAAACCAAAAAAAAAAAAAAAAAAAGAGATGGCCAGTGACTACCTTCTGTGCTCCATGGAGAAACTCTGGTCTGGAATGAAGCCAAAACGTATAGAATTAGAGCCTGGAAGACAAGCTTAATAAGGCCCTGGATCCAGCTGTGCTTGAAGGTAGATCTGCTCTTTGACTTCCAGGGCTTACATTTAAAAAAACAAATTCTTTTGCGGAGCTGAGACTATTTGAATTGGGTTTGCAAAACCTGCAACCAAAAGCATTCAGACTATAGAAGGAACACCCCACATCCTGGCACTTTTACGTACTTCGGAGGGGGCTCTGTCTCTCTGCTGCTGCTGCTGGTTTCCTTCTCAGGCTTCTTTGCTTTACCCTCTTTTGTGGGGTAGAAAAAGGACCTGCAGGAACATAAAAGGGGAAAAAGGGAAATGACTGCAACATCAATATTCTTCTGATCCAGTGGTGGTGAACCTGTGGCGTGCGTGCCACAGTGGCACACAGAACCCTCTCTGTCCCAAAGAAAAAGAGAAAAAAACAAAAGAGGAAAAAGGAGACAGAGTAACCTAAGTAACTAAAGGTGCTGTCATCCAGGACTGACTATCCTTAAATTTCTCAGAAACATACAACCCAGGATTTGTTTAAGCCACTGTGTCCCAGGCTTCTGTGGCGGCATTGTCTAGGTCTGGCTCTGTCTGGCATCTGCTCCCTTCTTCTGTAATGTTCTCTCCATTCTCCTTTGGGGGTGCCTCTTCCCCTATAACTCTCTCGGTACGCAGGATATGACTGGCCTGATCCTTTACGTATGAGCAGACATGGACACATGACCCAGGCCTGACCCACCTGTGCACCGCACACCTGTGGCCATGGTGGCGGGGTCAGAGACATGTGCAAGGCCCAAGTTGAAGCATGACTCTAAATATTGCTCGGGCATCTAGAAGGACACTCTCTGTCCTTCAGCATTGCTAATTTGGGGACAGCCTGCCTCAGAATGACAACATCAAAGATAGCAGAGCTGAACAACAGAGACAGAGCCCCAGTGACAAAATTTTGATGACCAACTAGGCTGAGGTCATTTATTCCAGCTTCCAACTGTGTAAACCAAAAAATTCCCATTATTTTTTCCCGAATGCCAACTTGCATTAGCACGGGGTTTCTTAACCGAGGCATCACTGCCAGTGAAGCTGGAGCCTTCTTAGCTGGGAGACTGTCCTGGGCACTGAAGGATGTGTCTGACCCATGCGTGACTTTTCTCCAACAGATGTCGATGGCAATGGCAAACCCTACGCCCCTAAGTGTATCAACCAATAATGTCTCCAGATAGTCTGATAACTGCCAGATATTCTGCGGGGTAGGGGTGGAGGGGTGAGGTGGGGGGCTAAAGCACTTCTGGGTAGAAAGCACGAGACTAGAGTTTCTGTCCCCTGCAATCAGAAATGTTTTGGTTAATGTGCTACCCGTCCCCCATATTCCACTTGCCACTTTCCCTGCTATTCAATTCCTGGAAATTCCAATTTGAAGTCTAACTTCATTTATTCTAGGAAAGGCACAGTTGTGAGGCAAAAAGAGGAGGCGCTTGGTGAACACACATGGGTTCTTACATGATACTCCGCTGCATGATGGCGATAGCACTCTCCTTTCTGGGTCTATTTTTCTCTCGTCAAATGTTCCTGAAACAGAAATCCAAAGAGTTGTCAAGGATTCTGTTGTTGCAGAGACCAAAAGACACACACACACACACACACACACCCTTTCTTCAAGGGAAAAAACCCAGAAGAACAAAACTGCAATTTCCTCTTCAAGAAGTCTAGTTTTTATGAATCAGATGAATTTGCGTAGGACTTACTAGTGAAGAATAAAATTTCCAGTTCAGAGGAATAGGGGAGAAACCTCTACTATCATATGGAGCCTGTTCTGTTTTGTTTTTTTTTCACCCAATATGAATGATTCAGAGGACTTCAGTTTATTTTCAGGAGTTTTTCCCCTTCTTGGAGTTAAGTTTTGAGGTTTTGTTTCACGTAACTATACAATATCTCCAAATGACCAGGAAATGTGGCAGTTTATAAAATTATATTCACTGGTCTACAACAGTCAGCTGCTGAACAACTTCAAAGATCCATTAATTGAAACAAAGAACAACATGGCAGCATACTACTATGTTATGTAATGAATGAAGAACATCAGTGTATCTGCCTGTCTATACACAGAACACCAGGCTGGGGAAAAGAACAGCGATGCTGCCATCCTGGGGGGAGAAGTCACCGGTGAAGACTTATCACCTATCCTTCCATACACAGAGCCACCTGAAGACATTACACATGTGAAATAGGATTTTAAAAATTAAATATTTTTTAAATAAATCTATTAATCAAATCAATAAATCACTAGCTACTAAAAGCAACCCTGAAGAAGGTTACCTCAGGTCTACAGAATATTTCTATCACTCCCCAAGAGTCTAACAACACAACTCAAGAGGTCTATGAAATTTGATAGGGAAGTAATTATAACTATTTTTGTGAACTTCTAAGTGGAACTAAGTCTTTCCTTCCATTGTAAATTTTGGTAATAGGCTGAGAAGTCGAAGCAGAACCTCTGGGGAGGCTGCTAACATCTTCTTTGACCCACAGGGTTCTTCACCATCTGAACAACATTCTTTGTCCACAGCAATATTCATCTCTGCATCTGCATTTGTCTTCTACGGCCCTGGCCAGCGCAGCACTGCTGCCAGGAACCCTGACCCAATCTTAGGGCCATGTGCGGAACAGGCAGCCAGCCAAGGGTTTACCAGAACATTTCTCAAAGAAGGGTTAGAGACTTAGCTGCCAAAAGGCTGAGGGACAGGGACGGAAAGGTATATCCACTATCCTGCCCACTTTAACGAATGCTTCCATGGCTAGGAACTTTACACGCTGTTATTCAACCTCCACAACAACTCTATTACACACAGACAATGAAATCGAGGCAGAGAGAGGTAAAGGGACCTCATTCAGGTCAAGGACCTTCCACCCTATACCTGCCTTCTTCACAGTTCACCTCTTGACCACGAGGCTGAGTCACAAGAGAAGAAGAAAGAACTGGCCATTTATCAGAAAGCTAACTTGATGGTGGACAGGTCACTCACATTTCAAACCGTGTCAATCTATCCCAGAGCTTGCCCTTCAAGGGAAACGTGATCATCCTCACTTTCTACATGACGGGACTGAGGACAGAGGGGGAACAGCGGGGGCTCAAGCAGGGCCTTGAACCCAGGTATGGCTGGCTCAGAGCCCATAGTCCTTTCTCTTTGCCCAACTGATTGGGTCAAAGTTGGCCTCTTAATACTGCTGGGCTGGTGGGCAGAGATCCCTGGCCCACACTTATCAGGGACTCCTGCTGTCTCCATCAGAATGGCAATCCCAGCTTCAGGGAATTTAGTCAGCAGAGACACTCACATAAGGGTGAAGGAGGTAAAAACAAACTTCCTGCCTGCAGGAAAAGACTAGCAAGTGGTGGGATGGATGCCTCTCCCAGAACTAGCGTCTTCAGTGCTGCCACAACCATGTTAGAATAGTACGCAGAGTTAAAGCTGAACTAATGATGGCTAAAGACAATAGAATTTCTTTGTGAGATGATAAAAATCTTCTAAAATTCAGTGTAATAATGACTGCCACTCTGAATCTAATAAACCAATGAACTGAACAGTTTAAATGGACAAATTGCATGGTATATGAATAATAGCTAAATAAAGCTGTTACCAAATAGATGAATGAATAAATGATATCAAATGAAGATGGAATATTACTCAACAATAAAAAGAGTGCTATTGTTATCCGCAACCAGGGTCTCAGGACATTAAGCTAAATGTAAAAAGTCTATCTCAAAGCTTACTACTGTGCAATTCTATTTATATAACATTTTCTAAATCACAAAGCTAGAAATAGAGAACGAATCAGTAGTTGCCAGGGGCTGAGGAAGGGGTTACTATGAAAGAGGAAGCACTGGGAATTCCTTTGTAGAGAAGGAACTGTTCTATATTCCTATTGTGAAGGTGGTTACACAAATCTGTAAGGGTTCAAACTGAGCAGACATACAAACACACAAAACCTGAGCAAGCATAAAGACTGCTGAAAACTGGGCAAGGTTGCTAGTCCAGTTAAAAATACTGTATCAATGCCAACTTCCTGGTTTTGATAACTGACTACCGTCATATAAGATGCCATCATTGGGGGAAATGGAACATACCAGTTTTACAACCTTGAGTTTGTAATTATTCCAAAATAAAAGGTAAACAAAAAGAATGAAGGAACACTCCATGTATATTAGTACACAGAAAGAAATCTTAGATATATTAAGTAAAATCTTAAGTAACAGTAAACAATAAAGTAGGCAGAACAGTGTATAATAGCTGATTTTGTAAGACGGGGAAAATAGTATTGCCTATTATTTGCAAGTACAAACTCTGGAAGGAAAACCATTAACTCAGGTGGGAAGAGAGGTGTGCACTAGACTTTTCATTAGGATAGAGGCATGCCCTGATTTTATTTGTCCACCATGTAAATTGTTCAATCTTTTAAAAAACTAGTACATTTAAGCTCTAAGTAACTTTTCTGTAACCCTCCCACACACACACACACACCCAGTCTCTCCCCTCTGCTTGGCTTTCTTGCTTGGCCGGCTGTGCCCCCTCAAGGCTAGGCTGGAGCACCACTGCAACCTCTGGACGCCTCCTGGTACTTGCTGCAAGGACGTTCCCTTTTCTGATATTCTGTGTGATTAACTGGTACCTCTCTCATCACATATCTCAGGTCGACCCTGCGCTATCGTGATCACGTTCAGAATTTATCTTTCTGTGTGGTACCCTGGGGAAATGGAGCTGTGCCCAATCCGCCCCATCTCCAAAAATTATTTCCCCCGAATCAGACATTCTTTACACCACTTTTGCGGTTTCTGTCACTACTGTGTGACCTGAATTTTCTTTTTTCTGTAAGACTCAATATTTTACTAATTGGGGTATTTACTAGGTACTATTACTCCAAGTGCCTTAAATCCTATCACAAGTCATTATAGCTATTTTATAAGTAAGGAGATGTGGGCACAGACAGGTTGAGCAATTTATCCAAAGTCACACAGCCTCATGGATCACAGAGCCAGGCTTTGAAGCCAATGTCCCCAAACACTAACTATGCTGGGGGAGAGGTTTGGGATGAAAGCGGTTCCTAGATTTTTCGGGTTAGTGAGATTAACATCAGCAGGAAGATGTTACATTATCCAACCTCCCCAGGGTACCACAGGGTCCCAACCTGATGAGGTGGTCTAAATTTCTATCCTACTTTAATGACAAGGAACTGAGGTACAGAAAGAATAAACTGCTTGCCTCAAGTCACCGAGCTCCTAGCAGTAGAGGGGAATTCAATCCAGGTAATCTAGCTCCACATTCCCAGGACTCACACTAAACAAAGAAACTTCTGTCATTCCTCTACAAAGAACAGCATTATTTGTCATAAATCAAATACAGGGATAAAAATAAATACAAAGAACAAAACCTGATTACCAAGTTCTAGTCAGGAGTGTGGGCTGCTGAAGGCTGGGAGCGCTGCCCTGCATTGGTTCCAAGCGGTAACTAGCCAAGAACGGGAGGGGTGTGGAAGACGAATGGGCTCAGTGCCCTGGCACGAAATACCATTGCTGTGCAATGCTGCTTACGTTTGTACCTCAATTCAAAGCCCCATTCTCCAGCCACTGCCCTCCTCTTTCCTTCCCCAAGAACTCAACCCCACCAGTTCCTTCTTGGGCCTGTGAGCTTGTGGTAATGGCACCTCCTCATGTTGGCCCTGCCCCATCCTTGTGCTCCCTTGCGCTTGCTTCCTGTGCTTTGTCACTCACCTGGCAAAACCCCAATGCTGACTGAGCCCACTGTCCATCTACTCCACGCCTGTACTTGCAGAGCTACTAACTGTGCCAAGAGCCGCCAACAGAACACTGCACTTCCCTGATCCTTTCAGCAAACTTACTTGCTCGGAATGGAGTTCACAACTGCTTCTCCAGCTGCCAAACCCTCCTGTCTTCACTCTCAGCTTAGAAAATGGAAGCAGTCAGGAGAAAGGACGCAAACTCCCACTTCCACATCCACATGCGCAACCACAGTGTGCCCAAGTGCTCTGACTTCCTGTGCAATTACTTCGGGCATGTCAATAGCGCGCTCTGTTCATGACCAGCAGATGCTGGGAACAACCTGAGCATCCTTCAGTGATAACAGGTGAACAAATGCCTCCACCACACAAGGCTTTCCTCTGCTCACAGAGTAATGTTCTAATGCAGTATGTAGTGAAGTTTGTACAAGGACAGTGATGGACAGGGGGGAGGGTAGGTCACAAAGTGGGTGGAAGAGGACAATTTTTAGGGGTAATGGAACAGAATTTTGATTGTGGTGGTTATGTGGTCTACTCTTAGCTTAAAACTCACAAGAAATCATTTACACCAAAAAGAGCAGTATTTTAAAAGATACTGGGGAAAAAAACCCCAAAACTTGGAGTTTCTGCTGACTCAATGCTTTTGCTTACACAGCAACCTCATGCAAGTCCCACTGGCTGTACCTCCTCACTTGAAATAAACTCCCAAGTCCTCCAGGGGACAGATAAGCAATTCCTCACCAACTCACCAGCTTCTTTCCCTCAATCTGTTTGGAGTAACCAAGTCAGCTGTCCAGTCTTCCCAGCAGCTGCTGCCCCAGGCCTGGGGTGTCTGGACACTCCCTGACATCAGGAAGCTCTCTCCTCACAAGCCACCTCCTCACGGAGGCCTTCCCTGACCACCCTGGCCAGGAACACAGCCCCTCCCCTAACCCACACTATCCTCACTCTTTTTCTATACAATACTTACTACAACCTGATGTTATAAGAATTTGCCTCACTCTCTGGAAATTGCCCTCTAACATAACTTTCTGCAATGACAGAAACGTTCTATGTGCTGTCCAACATGGTAACCCCTGCCACATGTGACTTTAGACCATTTTAAATGCAGCTAGTTTTATTTACTCTTTCAGGTTCTTACACTAAGGAGACAATAGAATGTTTACACATGTGGGTCTGATTTATTTCACTTATGAGTATGGTCTCTAATCACATCGTTTACCTATAAAAGCCTCAAGTTCATCTTTTCTTATAGCTGAGTAATACTCCACTGCATAAAAATACCACATCTTTTTATCCATTCCTCAGTGAATGGGCATTTGGGTTGTTTCCAAGATTTAGCTATGACAAATTGTGCAGCTATAAACATGGGTGCACATATATCAATGTGATATGATGTTTTTAATTCTTCTGGGAAAATACACAGAAGGGGAATAGCTGGGTTAAGTAGGACTTCTAATCCTAGTTTTATGAGGAATCTCCACACTGATTTCCACAGTAGTTTCACCAACCTACACTCCCACCAGCAGTGGAGAAGGGTTCCCTTTTCCCCACAGCCTCCCTAGCATTTGTTATTGGTTAATTTCATAATGATAGCCATTCTTGCTGGGGTGACATGGAATCTCAGTGTTGTTTTAATTTGCATTTCTCGAACGATCGATGATGCTGAACATTTTTCCATATATTTATTTGCCATTACTACGAAAGGGAAAGAAATTGCTCAAAGGAAGGAACAACTGGTATGAGGGAAAAAAGAAAAAGAAAGAAAGGAAAAAGGAATGGGAAAAAATATATATATAGAGAGAAGAATAGCTTGGATAACTGTACTGCTGAAGTCTAGTAGTTTATTAAAAGGAACAGTTAATGCGTAATTTTTTTTACTTGTTTTTTCCTTTTTGACGAATTTTGTCTGCTTATATCTGGTAATCTGGACAACTAATTTGAAGACAACAATATGCAATATAACAACCGTAAGTGAATTCCCACCATCTTGAAACAGTGAAACTCTGTACTGTTTCTAATTTTTTTGTTTTGTTTTATTTTTTATTCTCTTTAATGGTTTGATCAATCTTGCATTCTTACATCTGGTAATCTGAGCAACTTCGCTGAACAGTATGTAATATAACAGCCACTGTTAATTCCTATCATTTTGTTTTGAAACCCTGTATCATTTTGTTTGTGCTTTGTCTTGGTTTTGTCTATGCTGTCGGTATTTTGCTATTGTTCTTTTTTTTATTCTCTTTAAAAAAAAATAAATGCAGCTAGTGAAACTGAGGAGCTGGGTTTCTTATTTGATTCTCCTTAGTTTAAATATAAACAGCAATGTGGCCAGTAGCTACTGGAGCAGATGAAGGGTTAAAATGTGAGAGTTCCATGATTTCGCCTATTCTGTTCCGCGATATATTCCCAGGCCCTATAACTGTGTCTGGAACTGAAGGTATTGGCCAATATACGCTTTTTATTCTCCCAAAAACTCAGGTAGCAAAAAAAAACAATCTATGCTTAAAAATTCTCGGCTGATAATCAATCAAGACCTTTCAAAACGTGGAGAGTATTGTGAGGAGGAAAGAGATGAAGGGCTCTTTGGTGAACTGCGGGTGGATGGCAGGCTAGAAAGCTCAAGTCTGCATGTCTTCTACATAATAAAGGCTCGCATTCCCAGACCTCTCTGCTCTCCCAGTCACATCCTATCCTTGTCTAACACTTTTACTCCTTTCCCCTAAATATGCTCTTTCTCTTAGACTGAAAACAACTCCGCACCCCTCAAGACAATGGAGAGAGACCTTGCCTCGCCCAGGGCTAAACTGCCAGCCACAAAGACACCTGGAAGGAAGTCCGAGCCCCCTCCCCCCGCCGCCCCCGTTCCTACACCTTTGCCCTTTTCTTCCAGTCTAGCTCTCCCTTGCCCTAGCCCCTGCCAAGTCAGGCATACACAGCGCCTGACTTCTCGCTACCCAGAAGATTCCCTTCATGAGGCTTTTACCTACACCTAACCACTGACCTCTTATCGGCCCCACCTCTGTCCAGCTGATCCCCGCACCTGTATTAATGCCACGCCCTAAATAAACCCTGCCACAGCCCTGCGTTGCCCGTGGCAGCCTCAAGCCCCTCCCACTCCCAGATGACCACGCCCACCACGAAACCTTCCCCCTGGGCTCCGCCCGAGCCTTCTCTACCCCGCCCCCTTCCAGATAACCCCGGCCCCTTGGCCTCGGCTCAGGCCCTACCGCGTCCAGCCGGCTGAGGCCCCAGTCAACCCTGCACTTGACTCCTCTTCCTCCGAGAGGCCAGCACCCCGTTGCCCGCCTACAACCCTTTCCGCCGCTCTCTCGGCCCCCCTCATCGTCCTAACGCCTGCTCCTCTGCCGCCACACATCCCCGCCGAAGCCATGGGCCTAGACCCCTCAACACTGTAGCCACCCCACCGCTAGCGCCACGCCGGGGGCCCCACTTGCCTTGCGCGCGGCTGTCCCGGACGCCACACTTGCTTAGCGCGACGCACCCGGCAGTCCTAGGTTCGCGCCAGGGATTTCGCGCGCTGACTTTGGCGGGCAGAGGTGGGGACGAACGAGGGGCGGGTTCCGGGCATGTCCGCGCAGCGTCGCCGCGCGGGGGATGCTGGGAGTTGTAGTCTCCTGACACAAAGTAGCCTTGAAAAATGGTGTAGCGGCGCGAGCCCTCCCACACAGCATGCTGGGAAGCGGCCCTGAGCCTGTCCTCGCCCTGGATGAGCTGGTGTGGCCGAGGGTTCCAGGAGGGGACTGGCGGGGAAAAGAAGTTTTGGTGGAATCCTCCGCGCGAGGTACGGCGGGAGGAGAGGCGGGAGGCCGCGCGTGGCATCCCGGGAGCAAGGGCCGGGCCCGGCTTCGGCGCGGGGCATTGTGGGATATGGACGCCGCTCCGGGTTGGGTAGGTGAGTGGGGAGGGGCAGGAAGGGTGCACATCTGGGGTAGCAGAGAGGCGCAGCTGGGTGCGACCGCAGAGCTGAGAGGGACGGCGGCGAGCGGCGAGCGGGACTGGGAGGGCTGAAGGAGGCGGGAGCCAGCTGGAAGGGGCTCCAGGGGGAGGGAAGGAGCAGCTGGACGTGGGGGTGAATCTGAGGTGAAGAAACCCATCTGAGGACAAGGGACCATGTTTGGAGCGAAGCCGCACGTTGGGGAGAATGGTGAGGAGGCCACAGCTTTGGGGGGAGGGGTCTTAGGAGGAAGTGGACCACAGATGAATATCGGTGAGACTTCTGAGTTGCATTGGCCACTGTGGGCCACACACCTGTAGGCAAAGGGTCCATAGCTGGAGATGGGGAGCGCATATACAGATGAGAGCATCTCTGGGAGACCGGAGCACAGGCGAATGTGGTGACCCATTGGGGCCATATCTGCTGGAGGGGCAACAACTGCATATCAAAGACATCTGGGGAGAAGGGAGCCACAGATGCATGCCTAGGGGTGAGGGATCTGTGCCTGGATGCCAGGCGGACATCCGGAGACGAAATGTCTTTAGAGAGGGCAGCAGACGGTCATGGGTTACAGCAAAGTGTAGGAAGTAGGAATCCCTGAGGAATGGGGAGGCGCTAGTTATCACCAGGGTCAGGGGGCACTCTGGAGAGTCAGGCGATCTTAGTTGGACGCTAGGAACACGTATAAGGAGTTGTCCACAGCTGAGCTTCATGAACCCGCCCTATACCTAGGAGTCGTCTCAGAGTTGGAATTAGGCTCCAACTGAACCAGGGGTTAACAGTGACTAGGAGTCAGCAAACACGACGTGCAATTTATATCTGGAAAAAAGTTTGCATCCAGCCCAAGGCCCCCCATAGACAGAGGCACCTGCACTGTTGGGGCAGGCTGAGAATGGAGAAAATGAGATGCCCTGTGGGGATGGGTTAGATATCCATCCAGCTGTTCTCCCCCAGACCCCTCAGGCCCCCAGGATGGAGCTGCCAGAGCCCCCACCCTGCACAGTGGTGGGGAAGGAGGAAGAGGAGCTGCTGAAGCAAGCCTTCTTCTCCTGGGCTGAATTCAGCCGCTTCTTCGACAAATGGTGCCAGCAGCGGTTGGTGATGTTCTCGGTCAAGAACTCCACGCGTGTGGCTCGCAGCCCCTGGGCCGGTGTGCCCCCACTCTACAGGCTCATCCACGTGCTCAAGTACAGCTACGTGCTGCTGGTGTGCAAGGATGTGCACTCACCCAACCAGCCTGCAGAGTGGTGCGTGAGCCTGAGCCTCAGCCCTGCAGGGGGGAGGGGCTGGGAGGGGCACCGAGCCCCCACCCAGAGTTGGGAGGGAGAGAGGCTGGCTGCGACTGGCAAAAAATACCGAGGAAGAGAGCCAAAGAGGAGAGGATGCTTACTGAGAGGAGAGGAGCCAGGGAGCCAGAGGGGCAAAGTACGCATAGAGCAAGAGAGCTCTTGGGCCCAATTTACAGAGAAAGAGAGACAGAGAGAGGCAGACAGAGAGTAAAGAAAGACAGAAAATTCGGAGTCAGAACCAGAACCAACAGAGAGAGCCAGGAAAATAGAGCCAGACTTTATACATATAGAAAAAGGAAAAATGGTGAGACTGAATTCTAGAAAAGCTGGAAGACAAAGGAAAAGACTCCTCTATTCAATAAAGACAGGGCCAGGTCCTATGGTATGAGCTGGGGATATTTTAGTGTATGAAGGGGAGAGTTGAACAAGAGCCAAGATTTCTGCCCTTCCTGAACTTCTAGACTGGATACGAAGACTGATATTGAGAGAAGCTCACAGGTAGTTTACCCCAACTTCATAATGCTACAAGGAGTAGCAGAGAACCATCCAAGAGTGCTGGGAATCACAGGGCCAGGGATGTTTCCACTGATTGCAATATGAAACAGGTTATTCCCCGTACAGTGTTGGGCTTCTAACTTCCCTTGAACAGGAAAGGAGGCAAACCCAGGTTTCCAAGTAGCAAACAGCCAACTCTGTTTGTGCTCAGGTTTGCCCCAGACTCCACTGCTCTCTGCTGCTTCATGTGCTATTGCTTCCTTATTCTGCCAGCCTTGGCCCTCCATGTCCATGTGAGTTTGAGCCCTGTGGCTGAGGAGCCATAGAAAAGAGCAGAGTACTTAAGAACACAGGCTGCCTGAGTCCAGCTCACCTGCTTACTGGATGGGTGTCTTTGAGCAGTGGACTTTACATTTCTAAGCCTCAGTGTCTCATCTCTGAAACGCTACCATTTCTTAAGGGTTTATTAGGCACTTGGCCCTTTTATGACCACATCACATCATTTCATCCCCTTGTTTAGTGCTCGCAACAATTCTTTGGAGTTGGTATTATTTCAGCTCCAATTTCCAAGTGAGAAAACAGGCACAGAATGGTCACAGGACTTTCCCAAGATAACATAACTGAAAGAAGGAAAAACCAGGATTTGGACCTCCCCAATCCAGCTGTGAAACTCACGCTTCTAATTTGCACTTTGTCTTCTCCCCTACCACACATGTTTATTTCAGTTATGGATTACCAATAGGAGAGTTGAGTCTGCCAGCACCCTAAGTATTTCTTGGTTCTAGGCACCAATCTGTTTGTCCATTCATCCGAGAGAGTTGTTTTGAGTATTAGTACGCATAGTATATATGTCCTAGGTGCTAACGTTTCAGTGAGGAGCATTTGATACAGATGAGATTAAGTCACACTTTTGTGATGAAATCCACCCTAACCCATGGGTTATCCAGGAGCACTTCCTGGAGGAGATGGTGCTAGCTCTGCAATATGAAGGGAGAGTAAGCATTGAGTGGTGAAAAGAAGGGAGAAGGAAGAAAGAATTTACATTGTGGTTGGTGGCAGTGGAAATGGAAAGATATAGATGTTCCAGAGAGGTTTTGGAGGTGTGCTGGATGATTTCGATGGAGTGGGGCAGGGAGAGTATGCCAAGGTATACCAGCTGTCTAGGTTCCAAAGCAGGGTTCTCTCATTCATTTTTGTCATACAGTCAGCCCTCAGGATTAGGGCATTGGTTCCAGGACACCAAAATCCACATATGCTCGAACCCCTTGCATAAAATTGCATAACATTTGTATAAAACCTGTGTACCTCCTCCTGTATACTTTAAATTTTCTGTAGATGACTTATAAAACAACACATGTAAATCCTGTATAAATAGTTACCCTACTGTATTGCTTAGAGAATGACAAGAAAAGAGTCTGTGCATGTTCAGTACTGGTACAATTCTGTTTTTTCAAATTTGTTCCATCTGTGGTTGGGTAAATCCACAGATGGGGAATCTGTAGATACTGAGGGCTGATTGTGTACTTACTAAGCACCTCTAGGGCCCAGGTACTGTTCTAGGTTCTGAGGATACAGATGAAATAGGGCAAAATTCCTGTCCACGTCAGTTTTACATTTAGAGAGGAGTGCGAACATAGTGTTGAGGTGTGATACTGGGGAAAGGTGGGTGGCTTCACAGGAAGGTGACCTTCCCCGAATGGAAAGGTGACCTTCTCTGTCCTAGGGACTGAAATACCTCAGCTGAAAGAGGTCAGATCAGAGTCTCACAAAAGCCCATGAATTGTTCTAGGAAAATGGAGGGTGGAGTCCCCACAAACTTGCCATGTTGGTAGATGGGAAGTGGCTGAATGTTGTTAGTTTGTTATGCTTCTACTTGATAGCACCACTTGGCTATGTATTTGTGTTTTACTCATATCAATTTATATGTTTGCATTATTTATATTACCTCAAATAAGACAAAAAGCCTCCCACTCTTGACTTAGATTTTTAAAATCTAGCAGGCTCCTGGGCATGCATGTAAGAGAAAAGAGTGTGTTATGGATCCTTTTCTGGTTTAAGAAGAAAATTGTTAAGTATTTACTCGTAGTACTCAGGGGGTCTCCTGAGGAGAATCACTCTTCTCTGGCATTTACTACCAGGAGCTGGAGCTTCTTAAGTATATGCCAGACCTAGTCTATTCCAAGGGTCAGTGAACTGGAAAACCCTCTGGCCAAATCCAACCTACAGTTTTACTGGAACAGTCACACCCGTTCACTTATATATTATCTATGGTTTGTTTGCAGTGGAGCACCAGAATAAAAAGGGATGATTAAAAAATATAGGAGTTTAAATTTTTAAAAATTGTTGCAATAAAGACATCTTACCATTAATCTTCCTCAAAGCATTCACTCGTATTTTTAATCTCACTTTGTTTTTGTAAAGACACTTGTGAAAGAGGACTTCTAGAACTGCTTCAGAAAGTACCAAAAATGATGGGATAAAGTGTGTTTGAAGCAAGAGTGATTAATGGCAATATGTCTTTTATTGTAATAAATTGCTTTTAAAAATATTTAAACATACACTGTATTTTTAAAATCATATTATTGTATTTGCTTTCTTACCTTTGGAAGAAAGTTTGCCAATCCCTGCAATATAAACCTAGAGCTTCATGTCTGAAAATGCTGAAATCATACTTGGTCATGTAAAAGTGCCATACCTCCTTTCTAAAAGTAGAAGCTCAGAGAAATACTCACTGAATATTTTCTTTTTCTTATTTTCTTTCTTTCTTTCATCTTTCTTTCTTTCTTTCTTTCTTTTTCTTTCTTTGGTGCTTGGGGTCAAACCCAGACAGTTTCCCTCCCTATTTTATTTCATTTGTTACAATACTAATTATAACTGTCTAAACTGACTTCATGTTATGAGCTGGGGCCTGCGGTTTGACTACCTCAGTCCCAGACAAACTCTTGTTCATACACAGAGATGTGTAGGAGAGGGTACACTAAAGTGTGATCTGTGAGAAAGATGACCTGGAAACCCTACAGTAGCTGGTGGGGTCTTGCAGTGGGACATTAGTCAGCCAGTAAGAGGAATGGTGCTGAAGAGTCTGGACAGTCTGTGGAGTGAAGAAGCAAGTTGCAAAAGGACATGCAGATTGTAATCAGTGTCTTGATTGTCAAACAAACAAACAAAACCTACTATGAATATGGTGGCTTAAAATAAGAATTTATCATCTTTTAATTGTGCCAGTCATAAGGCCAATGTGGGTATCAACTGGGGTGCTAAACTCAGGGTGTCTCCAGGGTTGTGTTCCTTCTAGTCTCTGGGAGAACCCTCTTTGCCTTGCAGCATCTGCAGCCCACCCACATTCTCTAGTTTGAGACCCTTCCATTTTCAAAGCCAGCAGAGCAACACCTTCTTGTCTCTTTCTCGCTCTCTGATCCTCTTGCGTCCCTCTGTCCTTTCCGAGGAAGCTGTGATGGCATCAGACCCACCCCAGAGTCCAGGATCTCCCACCTGGAGACCCTTAATTTAATCATTCCTGCAGAATCCCTTTGCTATGTAAGGCAACGTTCGCATTTCTATAACCAGAGATGAACGTTTGGGGCAGTCATTATTCTTCCTCCTACAGTGCTAGGAAGCAAAAATTTTCTATGTAAGCATTCAAAAACTACCATACACATCCAAGAAAGTGCACGTGTCAAATATGCGCAACTGGAGTTTTCCCAAAACGAAACGCACATTTAACCAGCACCCAGAACACGTCTGGCCCCCCAGAACCCTCAGAACCCCCGTAGAGTTCATTGACCACAGAGTGGTAACCGCTTTCCAGTCTACAAACAGCAGAAGTTAACTTTGCCCACTGTTGAAGTTTATATAAGTGGGAGTTATATGACGGGATCTTTTGTGTTTGTCTTTCCTCAGACAGCAGATATGCAAGGTTCATTGTGGTGTGTTCATTCTTATTGTTGGTTGATGTTACATTGTTTTGAATATACCCACTTATTTTTTCATTTTATTCTTGTATATTTGAGCTGCTTATATTGGCTGCTGCAGGTAGTGCTGCTCTGAACACGCCTCCGCACATCTTTCAGGGGCCATGTGACGGCATTTAGGTTATGATCACGAGGTCAGAGGAGAAGCATAGAAGTTGCTTAGCAGATACAGCCACATGGTTTTCTAAAGTAGTTTCGACATTCAACACTGATGCATGAGAATTGAGTTGCTGTACATGTCCATCCACCCTAGATGTTATCAGTCTCTTTTTCTCTCCAATCCTATTTTTATTTACTCATTTTTTAAAGATGGGTCTCACCATTTGGCCCAAGTTAGTTTCAGACTCCTGGGCAAGTGGCTGGGCCCGCACAGGTGTGCCACTGTGCCCAGCTGATCAGTCTGTTTGATATGGCCGTGCTGAGGGTGTGTTACGATGTTTCCTTGGGCTCTTCATTTGTTGTTTCTTTGAGTTTGAGCACTTCTTTACATACACGAAGTTTCAAAACAGAAATATACCTCATAAAACATGAGGAGATGAAATACAGTTTTGGTAGTGGCTGCCTCTGGGGACAGGGAGGAGAGGAATGCATGAGGGCAGGAGCCGCAGAGGTCCTCCTACTGCGATGGCGTTATTGCTAAATCAAGCAGATATGGGACAATGTAAGACGTTTGTACTGCGAAAATCTTTTGGTGGAAGAAGTATAATAAAGCAGTTACTCGCTTTTGACAGAACTGGCGCTGCTGAGTACAGGACATGTGCAAACATGTCATGACTCCTATTTTCAGATACTATTATAATTTTTTTACCTATATCACTTTTTAAAAATTTCACAACCATCCTATGAGGAAGGTCTGATTATTACTTTCCTCTTAACATGTGGTGAAACTAAGGCACCTGGATGAGTTGCCTACCCAGTATCACATACGTAGCATGTTCTTCAGGCTTTCTAGTTTTCTCTATGCTTGAGACAATGAGAGAGTGAGAAAGACGAAGGAAAGAAGCGGGTACGGCGGAGGGATGTGACACTGATTCCTCCCGCAGGTCCTGCCAGCCCAGCTGCCCGGCCTTCATCACCCTCAAGCTGAGCCCGCTGCGGGACCGCCTCGTGGTGTCAGAGTGCCAGCTCACCCACTCACACCCAGCCTGCCCACGCAGGTTCGCCTACCACTTCCGCCCGGGCCACCTGCTGGCCAACGCCTGCCTGCCGGTGCGCATGACCAACCGGATCTCCAAGCAGTTCGTGGCGCCAGACGACGTGCGCCGCCTGCTGTCCTACTGCAAGGGCCCTGACCATGGTGTCCTGGATGCCCTGCACGTGCTGGAGGGGCTCTTCCGCACCGACCCAGAGGCCAAGGTAGGATCTCAGGGGCGGTAAGATAGAGTAGCAGACCTTTTATTCTGCCAGGGGAACTCCGGAGTCATTCATTCATCCCTCTGCCTCCTCATTCCTTCACTCCTTCCCCTCATTCATTCATTCCTTTCTACGTTATCCATCTTCGGAAGCCTTGGAGTGCAGTGAACAAGACATGTGGCCCCTGCGGCTGGCTGCCTAGGAGCACTTACAGCTCTCGTGGGAATGTCAACGACTGCACTGCCCAGTATGGGAGCCCCAACCACACGTGGCTACTGAGTGCTTGAAGTGCAGCCAGTACCATGAGGATCTGGATTTACTTTATTTTAATTAACTGAATTTTTAAAAGCCATGTCTGGCTATTGGCTACTATGCAGAGTTAACTGCTAGAACCACCTTGCAGTTCTAGTGGGAGAAACCAGTGGTGGACAGACACATCCGAAGCGTCAGGGTGGTAGAAGTGTTGGATGCTGGGAAGAAGCTGAAGTGATGGATGGAGCAACCTAATTTTCTTTTTCTTTTCTTTTTTTTTTATCCTTTTGAGGCAGGGTCTCGCTATGCAGTTCCGGCTAGCCTGGAGCTCACTTTGTAGCCCAGGCTGGTCCTGAACTCGCAAAGAACCTCCTGCCTCAGCCTCCCGAGTGCTGGGAGTACAGGCATGCGCCACCACTCCCAGCCTCTAATTTTCTTTTTAAATTGAAATACACAAACAAAATGCACAGATGAAAAGGGTATAGTTTACAAGTGTTCACAAGGTAAAAACAGCCCTGAAGTTACTACCCAGATCAAGATACATTATAGAAATTATATTACATTATAGAATGTAACTTTCTATGTATTATATTATAATATTATTATTATAATATTAATGTTATTATATTATAATGTATTATATCACATTATAGAATGTGGTGGAGGGAAGATAATTACAGGGCAGAATACCGTGAGGGTGGGACAGTTGTTAGGGGGGTGCTGATTTTTTATTTCTTTTTTTTTTTAATGGTAAAGGAGAATCAAACCCAGGGCTTCATGGATGTTAGGTGAGAGATCTGTCACTGAGCACACCCCACCTGGGAGGCCTCCTTAAGGAAATGGTGGTAAAGCAGCGGTGCCGATGGAGAGGAGGGACTCGCATCCTGGTATCAGAGGGAAGAGAGTTGCAGCAGGCAGAGGGAACAGCCAGACGCTGCAGCAAGCTTGCTGTGTAGAGGACTCTCTGTGCCTCTTTTATCCAACTTTAAGGTTGGGTTAAACTTGAGAATTTTAAAAAGAAAGACAAGAAAGGGGAAAAACCCAGGTTATCCACCTGTGTGTTTGTCTCTCATGCATAGAAATGGTCCCAGCTCAAGGTAAAGTGAAGGGATGAACCCACTTCTGGGATCCAGGTACTCTGTCTCATACTCCTAACCAGCCCTGATCCAAGCCACTGGTCAAAGTGTAGCCCTCTGTGTACACATAATACAATGTTATCTAGTTTGATTGAGCACTGACTGTGTCAGGCATTACTCTTAAGTGCTTTACATATTGCTGTTCACTTACATCTCATCAGACCCTGAGGAAGGAGTCCTTCATTCTCATCCCCATGGTATAAAAAAGAGAAATATGAAGCACAGAAAGGTCAAGTAACTGGCCCAAGGTCACACAGTTACTGAGTGGCAAAGCTAGGCTTTGAACTCACAGTGTGGATCCAGGCCCATAGTGTCCACTGCTGTGCTGTGCAATGCCAGCCTTTGGAAGGGTCAGACCCCCACCCGCATCAGTTTGCTGTTCCATAAAAATGGGACCTGCACACATGTTCTCTTTATTGTGTTAGTCATCACTGAGTTACTATTACCACTGATTAAATAAACCTTAGTTCTTTCCCAAAAGCACCCACTGTAAGGCTACTCTGAGCAAAGCAGCTTATTCATAAATGAAAGCCTTCAAGAAGAGGAATTAGCCCTTTAACCTCCATGGTGGACACTCTCATGGCATCTAGGCTAAACCGGGGCTGCCTGCTGGCTGTGCATTCTGGCCACCTTCATACTCTTAAAGAAATGAAGAGGAGGTCCTCAAAAACCAAGGGACAGGCCAACAAAAGGTTATTCCTTTGCTTTCTTGCTTTTTTGCTTTCTTCCTTTCTGGTTTTTTGGAGAGAGGGTCTCGCTATGTAGTTCAGGCTGGCCTTGAACTCACTATGTAGCCCAGGCTGGCCTCAAACTTTCAGTGATCCTCCTGCCTCAGCCTCCCAAATGCTAGGTTTATAAGTATATACCATCAAACCCGGCAGGTTATTCCTTTATGAAAATATTTAGGCATTTAATTTGTGAATACGTAACATAATTTACATGGTCCTAAAATCAAAAGAGTATGTGGTGAACAATCCCCTTGTCAGCACCTATGCCCCAGAGCTCTTCGTCAGAGGTTACCCAAATCATCAGTTGCCTATGTATCTTAAATATCTTTCTGTTTTTTGGCCCTGCTCTGCCCAGTGGAACTTTTTGCAATGGTAGAAATGTCACAAGTGCTGTCCAATACCGTAGCCCTGGGGCTCACTGCTCACTTGAAATGTAGCTAGTCTGACTGAGGAACTGGATTCTTACACTTAAGGTAAATGAAATTTAAATATCCCCATGGGGCTAGTGGTGTCTGCATTGGGCAGCATAGTACACTATATACAGGGAAGCTTGCACTTCTCTATTTTAACCTTATTTCCTCTACCTCGCAACCACCCCCACTCAGGAGGGCAGTGTGTTCTACATACTGTTTTGCATCTTGCTTTATATGTCCAGGGGTGCCAGATGTCAGCATCTTTCAGTCTTCCTCTGAGACCAATCAGATCCCCCTGAGAAAATTCATCCTTCTGGCTGGGGGATGAAGGTGGGGGAAAGAGGGCTGTAAGCTGGTATCAGTCAGCAAGGTGCACTTAGTCCCGTTTGGGGTTTAGGATCCCTCCCTCCTCACCCTTAGATGGGCCTGATGTCCCCAAGGGCAGTACCTCATTCTGCAGAATGAACCTCCAGTCATGGTCTTCAAAAGGAGGGCATATCAGCTTCACGTTACCATAACAAAATTCCTGAAGTCATGAACTTATAAGGGGAAAAGGCAAATTCAGGCTCCAGTTCCAGAGGCTCCAGCCCAGATTAAAGAACTCCATTGCTTTGTGCCACTGGAAAGGGTGGCACATCCTGGCAGGAGCACATGGTGAGGCAAACTCCTCAACTCATGAGGTAGAGAGAGACCTTGGGGACAGGCAGGTCCCACAGTCCCTCCTGGTCATAACCCAGTGATCTAAGGGCCGTCCACCTCCTGAAGGTTCTCCCACCCCTCCTGTTCGTGCCACCTGGAAGCCAGCCTTCAACACAGCACTCTGGGGGCACTACTGACGTTCAGACCATAGCAGGATTGCTTTGGGAAGCTGAGTACCTGGCATTTCCTGAGCTGGAGTGGTTTTCTTGGTCTTGGAAGGGGTCAGACAAGAAGAATGCTCAAAGAGCCACAAAGCACAGTTTGTAGGCAAGATTGGGTGGCTGCTTACTTGGAGATGTTAAGGCCTTTTACACCTGTACTGAGGCAGGGATGGCCGGCTACAGAGTCTAGTGACTTACCGTTACCTCATGTGTGGGCTTCCAGTAACCAGCCAGTAAGCAGGCTCTGGGCAAAGAGAGGCCATACACGGCAAAGCACCCTTCTCTGGGGCACACCTGCCTTCTGAGAAAGACAACTGTTGATCTGAGTTTGCTTCTTTTAAGAATACTAAGTGGTAAACCAGTATGATCACATTGGAGGGCAACTTAGGTCATCTAAATAATGGAAGCACCCACCCCATGACCAACAGTTCTGTTGCTGGTAATTTCTCCTGCAAATGACAGCCACACAGCTCTGGAGTGACATATATGAAGTTAATCACTGATTCATGAAAGCAAAAGGTTAGAAATAGCCAACACTCACGCGTGGAGGATGGTTATATAATTTGTGGCATCTCCATTCATGGGATATTATGAAGTGCTAAAAACTAGAACAATCTAAAATCTGGAAGGATCTTTCAGATTTATTTTTAAGTTAAAGCAAGTTATGAAACAGTGTAAATAATAGGCTGTGTTTTGCACAAAATGGTGAAAATAAGAATTATAGATGTGCTTGCATATATTTATATAAAGTAGAAGAATACCAAGAGGCCGAGCATGGTGACACATGCCTGTAGTCCCCCACACTTGGAAGGCTAAGGCAGGAGGACTGCCGAGAGTCTGAGACCAGTGTGGACTACCTAATGAGACCCTGTCTCCAAAAAAAAAAAAGAACGCTAAGAAATGCAGGTGAGGGTAGGAATAATGAATGGGAACAGGACGGTTAGTATTCCTTGAGTTTGAGGAATAATGAATGGGAACAGGACGGTTAGTATAAAGAAATGGGAGTAAGGCACTTTGTATAGTTTTATATTGTTTGGCCATATAAACTTCTGGATCATACAAACTTTTTTGCACATTCAAGTAATTTTTTAAAAGATGAAAAATGAGCAATAACCCCCAATATACTATATCTGGTTTCTCTCTTGAAAGGAAAGATTAGGTGAGTGATGTCAGGCAGGATGGTCTGGGGTTGCTGTAAGAAGGACCAGCCCTCAAATCTCAGTGCCTTAACTCATACATTTCCTGTTCACCCACATAGCTACCATGAGAGGACCTGGGAAGTACTGCTTATCTATTGTCTGAAGACATAAGAAGACAGGCATCTATCCCAACATAATTACCATGTCTGTCAGGGAGGGCCTGGAAATGAGGCCTCAGGTCACTTCTCATTTCATTGGCCAAATCAAGTCACAGCACCCCATACAAACACCAGTGCCCAGCACTGGGGGAACGCAAGTGCTTATCAAAGGAGCAAAGACATTATAAGCGGCTGTATTGCCAAGGTCCTCCAAAGCCCTGTTGGGATATGGGGTCCATTATCAGCCGTGATAGATCACTCCTGTAATCCCAACACTCAAGAGTCTAAGGCAGGAGGATCGCCTTGAGTTTGAGGCCAGCCTGGGTTACATAGTGAGTTCAAGGCCAGCATGAACTGCATAGGAAGAACCTATCTCAAAATAACCAAAAATATGGGGTTCATATTTCCACCACTGTGTAGACACCTGGGCTTCCGGCAACTCAGTTTGCGTTTCTCTGCCTGTCTCCACAGGAAGACGCTCTGTACCACATGGCCTGTTTTCACATCAGACCTTCTGTCTTTGGGATGACAGAGTAACATCTGGCGACTTGATTTTATTTATTTCTATGTGTGCTAAAAGCTTTATACACACACAGTTGTACCATTTATTATTTGTAGGACATTGAACTAGTTGTGAATAGGCTATTTAATTTATCTGTGCATTGATTTGTTTATCTGTAATATGGGTATAATAATTGTAACGATAGTTGTATGAGGAGAGAGAAAATGGTGCCTGGAAAGTAGGAAGCCCTGTATAAGCTACTTAACTATTGTTTTTGTTACCTGGATTTTTTTCTTCAGGACAGAGTAGAGAATAGTATCATTCTGGTCATAGAAGGAGGAAAGGATGTACTTACTATATGTAGAAGGAAGGATGTACTCACTCATGAGAAGAGGTGTAGATGGAGAATAGTAAGTGTGGTAGTTTCTGGTGCTAGCATTTGGAGAATCTGCCTTCTATGATAGATGCATTCCCCGGCCACCAATTTATTTGTCCAGAGAAGACACCTGCACTCGTTTGGGTCCTCAGACTGCTCCACCCTGGGCTTCTCTGTCTCCACAAATGCATCACCATACAGTGTGTTGCTCAAGCCTGAAGCCTTAGTCAGGCTTATTTGGTGATTTTTAGAAGGCTGTGAGGTAAGGTAATCAGGAACAGGAGTAGCCCAAGTGAGGAGCCTATATTGACTGAGGCCCTGGGGGACAAGATAAGGCAAGCTCAAAGGTCCTGATTTTCCTTCTTGGTCAGCTTTGCCTCACTATAACCAAATACCTGATACAAGTTCCTAGAAAGTAAAGAGAGATTTATTTTAGCTCATGGTTCTGGAAGGTCAAGTCCAAGAATAAGTAGTCCCCATGGTTTGGGCCTCTGATGGGGGTGGCACACATTGGAAGGGATGCATGTCAAAGGAAGTGTTCACGTTTATAGCCAGGTAGGGAAATGGGAGGAGTGGAAGAGACAGAGATATAATATTGAGGACGCCAATGACCTAAAGACCTCTCTCTTGGCACTGCCTTGTAAAGGTCTACAGAACTTCCCAATGCTAACACCCCCGGAACAAGCCTTTAATAAGTGGGACCCATCCCTGTGGTATAGACTCTTGGTTTTACTTTGGGTTGGTTGGGAAGTCCTGGGGAAAGTTGCCAAGCAGGGCAAGGGGCGACCCGATAAGAGTGGCAGTCCGATGGGAGAAATGGAGGATGCCGGAAACCCAGTAAGTACATGGCCATGATTACCGAGGTGGGAGAAGGTCGTGGCTCCAGCCAGGATGGGGGTCAATGGGACGAAGAGAAGTGGTCAGAATCGGAACTCATTTTAAAGTACGTTTCTGGGATTTAGAGGTGGAGTACATGTGCAGGGTAGGCAAAGAGGGAAACCAAGTATGAGGCCTGAGTTTTGGGGCCTGAGCTGGAGGGAGTGGTGGAGCTGTGGGCTAAGGTGGGCTGAGCAGCAAGGGGCAGGTTGCAGGGTGAGTTTGTGAGACTCAGTTGTAACTTGGAGCTTGTAGCCTGGAGGGATGCAAGCTGTCCAAGGTGCTGCAGGGACAGTTGAACAAGGTGCATGTGGAGCCTAGAAATGCAGCATGGGGAGTTCCCTACTTGGAGACGATAAAGGCCCCGTGTTCATGTTGGGGGAGCATAGGGCAGGGAAGAGGAGAGGAAAGAGCTCAGCAACATTCAGAGGTGGGGCGGAGAAGGGCAAGCAAAGGAGACTTCAAAGGAGATGCCTGTGAGGAAGGAGGACAACCAGGAGCTTTCGGGTGACCGTGGCCAAGAGAAACCTGAGAACATTCCGGGATGGGGGCGGGACCGCTACGCTGCTACTGCTGGGAGCTCCAGCATGTCTGTGATAATAACGGATTTGACACATCTGGCCTTGTTGGGAGCATTAGACGTGAATAATCTCATAGAGGCCACACTAGGGCCCTGTTATAGCAACGTGCCCATTTTGCCAGACAAGGAAACTCAAGACTCATGGAGAGGATGTCACCTGCCTGAAGCCCCACAATAAAAGGCAGATCTGAAATTCAAAGGCAGAGTCTGTCGCCTGAATCTCCACTCCCAAGATGTGCCCATTGGCTGTTACCATATACTCTCTCATGAGTTCGCTCACTGACTTGGGATGTTTTGAGCTACTCAAACATGTTCTTGGCTAGGTGCTGTGCAAAGTATCAGAGATGCAAAGGGAAATGCCCTCTCAACCCTAGGGGGCTTGTGTCAGAGAAGACCAGCAGGCAGTGGGCAAATTGACAAGTAAAGCTATGGCATGCCGCGTAGCAGTAAGTGCTGTGTCCAGTGGGGGCTGCTGAGAGGTGGGGTGTTTACCTAGTTGGGATAACAAAAAATCTTTAGAACAGGTGGTTTCTGAGGAGAGATGTGACCGTGAGAGCAACAGTGAAGTCTTGGAGACTCTTCCGGCTTGCTCACTCAGTAGCGTTCCGTAGGGATGATGCATTTCATCCTTCCAGCACAGCGGGACTCTTGCTGTCATCGCTTCACAGGGGACAGCCAGTCAGGCTGGGCAGTCTGTCCTCAGAAGCTTTGTTTTTAACAGTGGCCCTGTCTCTCAGTGCTAGAAGAAAGGAATGTTCCATTTCTAGGAGGGGAAATTGGAGAATATAGGGGTTATTGAGAAAACAGAGGCACTGACAGTAAAATCAAGCCAGAAGGGAAGGGGAGATGTGACTCGAATCTGGACCCACTGCCTCTGCAGTCTGCTCCTTACCACTAGACCAGTGGTCCCTTGGGCCGTGGGAACCTGGCCGGGGGGCGGGGTCTTGTCAAAACACAGATTGCTGGGTCCTTTCTGCTCCTGAGTTTCAGCCTCAGCAGATCTAGGATGGACCCAAGAATGTTTGTCATGAGCCCCATTCCTGATGCTGATACAGCTGCTCCAGGGCCCACATTTTGAGAACCACGGCCCTAGATGCCCTCAGCACATGAAGGAATGAATACCCATTTCCCAGTAGGAAAAACTGAGGCTCAGAGAAGCTATAAGTGTTCGGTGTGCAGATATCATCGTGGTGCCTTATGGCAAAGCCAGGGCTAGAGAGTCCATTTTTCAACCATGCCCCTGCACTGCCTTCTGCTGGTCAGGAGAATAAATACGGATATACACAAAAGCGACTGGATTCCGGTTTCCGGTTTCCCTAGAGCGAGAACACAGGCTGGGCGAGGCGTCAGGCTTCCCCTAAACTTTCTCTTCTCCTCCTGCCCGCGCCTGCAGGTGAAGCTGGTGTTCGTGGAGGACCAGGCGATGGTGGAGACTGTGTTCTTCCTGACGTCTCGCACCAGGGCGCTGCTGCGGCGCTTCCCACGCATACTCCTGGTGGACCGGCTGCCGGCGCTGCAGGGCGTGCTGGACCTGCTGGCGGTGCTGTGCGTGGACGGCGCGGGCCGCGCGCGCCAGGCCGCCTGTTGCGTGGCACGCCCGGGCACGCCAAGCCTCCTGCGCTTCGTGCTGGTCTCGCTGCTGCAGAGCGCGCCCGACGTCAAAGGCCGCGTGCGCTGCCTCACAGCTGGGCCCGAAGTGGCGGCACAGCTGAGGGCCGTGCGCCAGTTGCTGCCTTGTGCGCGCGTACAGATCTGCCGCGCACAGGGCCTGGAGACGCTCTTCAGCAAAGCACAGGAGCTGGGCGGGGCCAGCCGCGAGGACCCAGGCCTGTGGCCGCTCCTGTGCCGCCTGGCCGGCGCTTCGTCCTATGCCGCCTACTCCGAGGCGCTGGCTGAGCTGCGTGCCCAGGGCCCAGACGCCTTCGTCAAATACTTTGACCACAACTGGGCGCCCCGCCACGACATGTGGGTGCGTTTCCGTGCCTATGAGGCGTCCCGAGACCTGGACGCCTGCGCCCTGGTGCGTGGCCACCGCAGGCGACTGCTGAGCCACCTCAGCCCTTCGCACAGCGTGGCGCAGTGCCTTCGTGACCTGGTGGCCATGCAGTGGGCCGACGCAGCTGGGGAAGCAGCCTCTGAGGGCGCTGATGGCCGGGGGGTGTGGCTGGACAGCCAGCTGAGGAGTGGGGCCCAGGTGGAGGCGGGGAGGGGCCTGGAGACCAGTGACAAGGGAGGGGTCCAGCCAGAAAGGGAGAAGGGGCGGGGTTTGCAGAGGAGAGATTGGCCCGGGCTCAACTTGGAGAACCGGAAGGGGAGGGCGCTGGAAGGGAGTGTCTGGGGAGGGGGCCCGTTGGAGAGAGACCACCCGAGAGGGCCCGAGGTCAGGGACTGGAGGGGACCCCACTTGGAGGATGGAAGCTTTAGGGTGCTGGAGATCACAGACCCGAGGGGATCGCAGTTTAAATCAGAGCGAGCCGGGTCTTTGGAAGGAAATCTCTGGAGGGGCTTCCAGCTGCAGGATGAAAGGGCAAGCGTGCTGAGGGCCCGAGACTGGAAGAGACCCGAGTCGGAAACAGACAAGGGGAGAGGGGTCGCTGTCAGAAACTGGCGAGAGATCCACTTGGAGAAGCCTTTGGAGGTGGTTCCTGAGAACGGAGACCAGAGGGGGGCCCAGTGGGCGGATGAGGAGCGGAGAGGACCTGAGATTGCAGAGGCGCGAGGAGGACGGTTAGGGGTCAAACGGAGACGGGGCCTGGAGGACCTAGTTGTAGTCCAGCTGGGAGATGCGAAGGTCACAGGCGTGGCAAATGGGGATGGAGCGGGAGCCCGGCCTGTGGGCTCCAAGAGCAGAGCGGGACGTGGGATAGAGTGGGGGGACCCAGGAAGAAGGTGTCCAGGGCTGGGGAATGGAGTCCGGGATGCCACCCCTAGGGGGACCGTGTTGGAAGGGAACCCACAATGGGCAGTGATGAGGAGCGGGTCCCAGGCTGCAGGGGAGAGCCTGCAAGATGGAGGCGAAGGCCCACGGGGACCAAAGAGGCTTTGCTGCCCCTCCAGAGAGGAAGGGATAGACTGGGAGCCACTGGCTAAATTCCGGGCAGCCTGTGGGCCGGAGCTGGCAGACCTGGTGGCCGAGGAGCTGGCCTTTGCCAGGCAGCATGGCACCCGGGGTTTCCACTGGACCGGAACTTGCTTTGCTCTTAAAGACGGCTCCTCAGACTTCTTCTTGGATGGGGCCCTCACGTACTGCAGCTGCTCAATCCACGCTGCCCGTCGCTTGCCCTGCCGACACCTCTTTGCAGCACGTCTCCTCACTGGGGCCGCCTTATTTCACATGGACCTGCTCAGGGATTGCTGGGGGACAGCCGAAGAGCCCTGACCCTTCAGTCTCCTGCCTGCCACCCTCCGTGTGGAGGGCAGGCATTCTTTTATCCCAAAGATGATAATAGGGCTAAGCCACTGAGGCACCCCTGTCCCTCTGGCCACCTCCTGGGTCATCCCGGGACCTTATCTTGGCAAATTGCCTCTCGGGCTGAAGGAGAAGCTGAGAGTGTTCTCTGAGGTCCTGGAGCCACAGCTGTAGAAAATGCTGGTGGCCAGGTTGGGCCCAGAGGGCTCAGGAGAGGCACGTGTGAGGAGAGGGTAGACAGGGCCAGGCCAAGACAAGAAGAGGGCAGAACTGGGAGAAGGAGCAGGGGAGGACAGCAGGACGCGGGGAGACTGGCAGGAGTACACTGGTCGTAGGGATTGGAGGGCCGAAGGTGGAAAAGCAGGGGACAAAAGGTAAAGGGATCACAAGGACAGGTGAGGGGAACAGGCAGAAGGGGAGGAAAATGGCGGGGAGAGGACAAGAGAAGAGGCAGAAATGGAGAGGAAAGGAGGAAACATGGCAAGGTGGGAAGGGAGGGCAGACAAGAAGGGGAGGAGACAGGAGAAAAAAATTTAAAACGAGACGAAAGAATGACAAGGGATATGGAGAGAGAAGACGCAAGAACGGGGTGGTTGGGGTGTTTGTCCAAGATGTTGATACTGGGCTTCCCTGGACCTTCTGGTTCTTCATTAGAAAATGAGAGAAGGCGCTGGGGGTCTGGAGGGATGAGCTGGAGGCTCCCCTGGGGAGGGACCTGTCTGCATTGTTAAAGACTGGAATAAAACAGTATTATTTTGGTTTCCATGCTGAGTTCGTGGCTTCCGGGGGAGCATGGGAGGCTTGGATCCAGAAGAAAATTAAGATGGTCCGGCATCCTTTTATTCTTTCTGTCAAGTCCTTGTAGGGCCAAGTGAATGGAGGAACCGCGGTGAATCATCTCCACAGCAGCTCAGCCATTACTGCCCCTCACCTAGGCCAGAGCACACAGGTGGCAGCTGCCTGACATCCATCAATTCTACCTCAAACAACTGGTCATGCTGACCATCCTCGCCCATGATTGGTTGAGGATGGGCCTATAACCCAGACCTGGCCGTTGAATCTGCTCAAGTTTGGGTGAGAGCCTCTGAAAACAATCCCCTCCCTCATGAGAAGTCCCAGAATGAGACAAGTCTACACCTGCTCTGAACCACTATGGGCCAGAGTGAGAGTAAAGCCTACACGAGGCCTCAACTGAGACATGAAAATCTGAATTGTTGCTTGGCTCCGAGGAATACAAAATCTGCTCTACCGTGGGGCTCTAAGGAAAGGGTCTATCCTAATGATTTAGGGAAATTTGGGTTGGGGTTTCTGTTATCACAGCTGATGAAGGGAACTTTATTGTAGTTTACAAAGTCCAGTGTGAGGTGGCTCAGAACTTCTCAAACTTTAGTGTGAATGCTGAAGGCACTTTAGTGGTGGGGGACAGAGTTGGATTCAGTGGTCTGGGTTGGGGCTTGAAATTCTAACAAGTTCTCTGAAGCAGTTGATGGATCCTGGATCCTGTGGTGCTTATAATTACTTTGAAAGCAGTGAAAGACTACAATTCAGTGGCTCATGCCATGCGAAATGAAAGGCTTCTACCATAGATGAATGCAAGGGATCCAACAATGTCAAATCCCTCCTCTCATTTCTCCTGGTCTTTATGTGATGGTTTCGTACCAGAAAAAGCCCCATTTGGGCTGAGGAAGACAGATACTTTAGAAGCGCTGGCATCGCACGCTCATACCTTGGTTAAAAAACACCTTTCTGTAAGTACCCATGTAGTAAATCTCAAAGAAGAAACTGATAGGACTTAGTAAGGGTATCAGTTATTGGTTACTACATTACTGCTGTGTTAACAAAAATAACATTTTAGAAGTATATAAGAGTAAGCATTTATTGCCTATATGTCTTCGGTGACCTGATGGGGTGGGGGTAGGGGTAGGGGTCGGGGGGGTGAGTAGACCTTTGCTTTTCAAAGTGTGGTCCGTGGAACAGCATCATTAACATTCCTTAGGAGCAGGTATGTAAGCAATCCAGAGTAGGAGGAGGCTTACGGTCAATGAAACAGAGAAGGGCAGATGCTTATTCTCAGAACTGGACCTTGTAGGACATGTTTGACAAGAAAAAGAGGATAAAGAAGTGCATTTTTGATAGAAGGAACAGCATGTATAACAGTAGTTTACCCTTGAGGAAGGCAAAAAAAAAAAAAAAATGCCAAGGTTAATAATCGTTAAATCTCTACGTGCATGCCCAGCTCACAAGGGAAATCCTTTCAGTCCTCTCTGCTGAAAAATTACCTCCTCCTAGAGGCCATCCCTGGGCAGTCTTTCTAAAGACTTCATCCCCTTTCTCCACTTTATTTTTCACAACACTTCTGCTACCTGCAATGGTACCACACGGCTCTTTACCAATATAGCACTGTGATTAAGCTTATCAGGTATAAAGCTAGACTGCCTGGGTCCAAATCCTACCTCCACCCATGTGGCCCTTGGTTGCTTAACCTCTCTCTGTTACAGTTTGGGAATAATAATAGTACCTATCTCCTAGGGCTTTTTGTCAATAAATGAATTAGTGTGTAATACCAGTGTTGTAACATGTGCTGTATTTCTGCTTTCCCTAAGGTGTCCCAATTGTCTATTTACATTCTGCTTTCTCCAGTGACTTGTGTTCACTTTATTAACGGTGTCTCCACCACCACAAAAATAAAAGCGCTATTTTGTTCTCCATAGTACCCCTAGTACCACTATAAAGTAAGCTCGGAGGTAGAACCATCACCAGCTAGCCCGGGTCCTTCCTTGAGTACTGATGGAAATTAAAACTAAAGCAATCAGCCTGCATTTAAAGGAAAACAGCTTTAATTGGAAAATAAGGAAAAATGAAGGTGAGGCACAGCTCTGAAGAACATTAAGCTGTCCCTGTAACAAAGGAAAGTAGAAGAAAATAGAGGAGGGGCATCGGTTTGAAGGGACCCAGCTCTGAGGAAGAGGATCAGACTGGCCTGCCAACAAAAGAACAAGGACCGGTTTTATGGGAGTTCTGTGCTGTACTGGAGTCTGGTTGTTCATCTCAGTCCTGATTGTGTAGCTGCATCGGGCATAAGAGGCAGTTTGGTTCCCAGGAGATGATTGCTCTTGCTGAGAGGGTGGGAGGTACAGCCTCAGTTCTGATACAGGGTAATAGCTCCTACACTGGGGAGTGACCTCCTCATGGCCTGGTCTGTGAAGCTCTGCTTTTCCTGGAATTGATATGACTTCAGGTTTAGGACAAGGTCCAAGATGACTGCAGGTGTAAGACTTCTTCTGGGCATCTCCCCAGGGGCTCTGGAACTGGATGCCATAAAGGCTGGCAACTGGATATCCCTGCAGATCCTGAATTTAGTTACTTTTACCTTGGTGTCCTCAGTCTTGAAGGGGGTGGGATTGTCTAGGTAAAGTTAGAGCTAATAAACTTTGCAATAGACACTCCTTATGTGATGAACATGTGCAGAGCTGAGCAGAGATCTGAGTTGCAAACAAAGGAGACCAAAAAATGAAAGTAAAGATACCAAGTTTATTTCCTGCTTTTGGGCATCTGCCTCTAGGTTCCTGTTACAGAAAGATGAAAGAATAAAAATGGAAGAGTGGCTAAGAGGTCTCACATATCATCGTTGCTATGGTGACAATGGCGTCTGCTCTGAGAATTTTAGGTTCAGCAACCTTGTCTACCTATAAATCCTGCTGCAGCAGTCGGGGAAGTACAACTTCCAACAGCTGCCCCCTCTCTCGCGCTTGCGCAGTAGAATCTATTGTTTACCACTATTCACTCTGAGCATGTGCGGCCTGCAGGGGCGCTGGCTCAGTGGAGAGAAAGGAGAGAGGCACTGTTTACTCTCTAAGCCCTGTGGATACTCTTGTGCTCTCGCAGTCTACAGAGTCTGACCCTGGGGGCGGGGGGGGGGGTTCTTCTGGTTTCCAGGGCAACCGGGGGGAGGGAGGATTGGTGTCTCCTTGGCAACCCTGGGGCTGCAGGAGACCGAGAATGGGGATTAGAGCTATTGGGAGGAATTAAGGGTAATAACTGTGGAATGGGGATGTTCATGGAGGAATGGCTTGTTATGGAGGAAGTGGGTTTAAATAATCGTTGCGCTGATATTAGGGGAGTTGGAATGTTTTAAATGGAATGGGTATGTTTTGATGAACTCTTTTGTAATAAAGGATTGGGGAGCTCACTGAGAAAGCAGTAGGTATGTAAATAGGTAACTTCGGGTAAAGTAGAAATGCAGTAGGGAAAATTGGAGTGCTAAGCTCATTCCGCAATTCTGCACAAAGCTCCTACCATGTGCAGACACGGCCATATATTGAGGATACCACGGTGAGCAGGGTGGATGCAACTATAAATGAAACTGGGATCTTTGCGGCAGAGTCCGGGTAGTATAGAAATAGAGGGCTCTTGTATCCTATGGGAATGATGGTGGTGAGGGGTGCAGCCTGGTTGGATTGGAGGTGCGGGTGAGAATTAAACAAAATAAAGACCGCAGGACCTCACATGCCAAGGTTCAGAGTTTGATCTGTATTTGTAATGTTTTTGAAAAGTTGTAAGATTTAATTCAAGAATAACATGATTTAAGAACATCCTTCTGATTACTGTGGGAATAAACAGCAGGGAGCAAGAATGGAAAGAAAGCCAGTCAGGATGCTGTTGCAGACATCCCTACAAAAGATGTCTCCATGAAAGTGCTGTAAAGAAGGGAGAAAATGCTAGTAGAGATAAAGACAGCCACATGGATTCAAGAGCTGCTTAGCAGTAGAATGAAAAAGAGCACTTAGAAACATGAATCCAATGAGAGAAGATAGGCATTAATTAAATCTGCCAAAAAAGTGCATTGAGAACAACCTAGGAAGGTCGTTAAATGTAGACGACCCTGATTTTAATTCCAGTCCTGTTACTTGCTTGCTGTGTGACCTTGGGCAAGTGAATGACCTCCTCTGTGCTTTGGTCCCCTTATGTATAAGATGCGAACAGTTGTGGTAGCTATCTCATTAACTCATGTAGGATTGACTGCAGTAACACATAGAGCATGGAGCCCTGCTCATCATCATAAAATTATTGTAATCATAAAGGTATGAAGTTGAAGCAGGACTTGAGTACACAAAGCCCAGTTTCCTTGCCTCATCCTGGTACAGCACCTGGGAAGAGCCCTGAGGTCCTGCAAAATGGTTTTCAGTCGGCTCTGCTCAAAGAAGTCACCTCAGACTGTCTGGCACCACTGGGCCTGTGTCCCTTGGGCAACAATTTATAGATGTGTAGCTGGAGCTCTTCTCTATGTAGATGGTGCACAACTTACAGCTCCCCATCCGGCCTTCACCCATCAAAGTTTCACACCTCCCCCATGCTGAAATTTAACCCGGAAGTACATCGTGCCACGTGGTTTACCTACACGATCACCCCAAGAGACCCGGGAAGTGCACATCTTGCCTGTTTTCCACCCAGGGAAACTACATCAGAGATATTCGGTGATTCCCATAAAAACATAGGGCAGAGAGGAAGATTGTCCCTGTGTCCCTAACTTCTGCTCCGACGTTGTCAGTGTCTCTTATGTTAGCAGAAAGTTTCCGAGGAGTCATAGTTGGCCCTCAATATATTGCTATCATCTGCTTGAAGAGGCTGTTCCTCTCTGAGTCTGAGTTTCTGCATGTGGAAGATAAGAATAACTCACCCAGGTAATTTTGAGAATTGAAAATAGTGCTTATCTTGTCTAGTATATGCATAAATAACCACTTGTTATTGTAGTGCCCTACAATA